TTTATTTGTCGCGATATACGCCCGATACGCGACAACTGGTGTCAGAAGTGGGATACGAACTTAAACACGCGACAATATATTGAACGTGCTATGGGGTGGTTATATCGTCCGCTGCGTGTTTATCTAAAAAGTTACTCATCTGAGCTGAAACTGGTCCCAGGGCGGTGGGGCTACCTCAAATGCCCGCATTAGTCAAACACAGCCCTTATCATATATTAAATTAAAATCTAACGCGTTATAAACATACATTTTCTTAAAATATTCGATCTTACCTAAATGAACATTAGAACCATTACAGTATGCAAACAGCGGTTATGGGGGCCGCCCAGCTGCCTATCCAATGAGTACTGGGGGCTCTTTCCCCTGGGGTAAAGCGGCAGGGGCGTCAAGCTGACCACCAACTTCCAACTAGTGCCCCGAGGTCAAGAAAATATGGATCTACACATCCATTCCCCCATACGCCTTCATGGCTCAGTGCTTAATCAGTTAAGCACAGGGACAGTTGTACCTACAGAACAGTACTGCAAGGAAACATGTTCAGATTAAGAGTACTCCACCTTGAATTCAACTTACTCCATTTTTTATTTTGTAAGCAAAAGTAAAGGTATCCCTGTAACAGGCCGTGGAGGCCCATAGGGTTGTGAGACGTCGAGGCTCCCACATTTTCCAGATAATCAGCTCAGAGATGGCGGTAAGGTTTGTAAGCCTTAGGCACCGGCCGCCCTTTGCCACCAGGAATATTTCTGGTACTCATTTCTGTTAGAGGCTGAGTCGACCCCAGGGCCATAGTGCGGCTGGAAGGGTTAGGTAAACTGAAAAAATCCACATCATCGGGATTCGATCCCGCGACCTCCGGGCTTGTAGCACAGAGCCTCAACCAACTACGCTACCACGTGCCCATTCTCTAATTTTTTAAAAAGAAGATTTTTTTTTAAATCGATAAACTTTAAACTTAATAAATCTACATACAAGAATTTTTATCAGACAGAGGGGTCCTTAATAAGCGTTTACCAAGAAATGTAAGAAAAATAAACGTAATTTTTTCCGTCTTCTTACCTTCAGTGAAATCTAAGAAGCTTATATTCTTGCTGCTTATGGATCTGAAGGACTGCATTCGATTTACTTCATCCCCGCCCTCTATTTCTATTCATCTGTAACCAACATCGAACGGCACTCCTCTGCACTAAACCTCAGTTGCTAAGCAACAGAGCAAGGCAGTTATTTTTCTCTTTATTTTTATAGTTGTTTTCCAACTTTGTCTACTTTTTCCTTTCTCTTTGAAGACTTCCCTTCCTTACGACTCTACTGCGCAGTGGTTCCGAGAACCTCGTCTTCACACAGGTTTCGTCTGGTTAATTTTCTTCTAACAAATGAGACAACATAACCAGAGAATTTCAGTTGAAACTACAAGCCAAGAACCTTCTCAGGGTTTGAACATATCGGGCTGATGCGAGAGCGTCTTCGTCTGTTTGAATCACTGAACCATTTCAGCGTAAAACAGCTGCGGGTTAGATTGCTTACTTACTCATGAAGCTGCGCCCTTCTTGAGGAGCTGCCAATCCTACAGCTACTTAGGAATTTCCCAGCATTTTATGGAACCCGAAGGTTCATTACCGTCTTCACAAGAGTCCTCCACTGGTCCCTATCCTGAGTCAAATCAATCCAATCCATTCCATCCCGTCCTATCTCTCTAAGATCCATTTTAATATTGTCCACCCACCTACGCCTTAGTCTTCCTAGTGGTCTCTTTTTACTTCTGGCTTTCCCACCAATATACTATATGCATTCCTCTCCTCCTCCATTCATGCTACATGATCTGCCCATCTCATCCTCCTTGACTTCATCATTCTAATTATGCTTGGAGAAGAGTACAAGTTATGAAGCTCCTCATTATGCCCTTTTCTCCAACCTCCTGTCACTTCATCTCCTTTCAGTCCAAATATTCTCCTGAACACCCTGTTCTCAAACACCCTCAGTCTATGTTCTTCCCTTAATGTCAGAGACCAAGTTTCACACCCATACAGAACCACAGGCAAAATTATAGTTTTGTATATTCTAATTTTTATGTTTTGGGACAGCAGACGAGACGACAAAATGTTCTCGACTGAATGGTAGCAAGCATTAACCGAATTCAATTTCCTCTTGAATCAAGTTTTGATTTGTTATTGTCATCTCCACATATCTGAACTGTGCCACATTTTCAAAACAGCTGTTTCCTATCTTTATGTCATGATTTTGCCTTCCATTCTGGTGATGAGACAGCTATATGTACTTAGATTTATCTGTGTTTACTTCTAGACCAACCTCTTTACTTGCGTCAATTAAAGTTTCGGTGTTTTTCTTTATGGTATCTATATTATCACCCAGTAAGTTCACATCATCAGCACAGACTAACAGCTGATGTGTCTCATTTAATTTCAGTCCCAACTGGTTTTCTTTGACCTTCCTAATGGCATATTCTAAAGCAAAGTGAAAAGCAGTGGCAGCAAAGCATCTCCTTGTTTTAAACCATTCTGGATAGGAAAATTATCAGACAACTGTTTACCTATATGGGCTTTACTATATGTTTTGCTTAAACATATTTTAATCAACCTAACTAGTTTCATGGGTATCCCAAACCCTATTAGAACACAGTACAATATTTCCCTCCTAACTGAATCATATGCTTTCTTGAAGTCTATGAATAGCTGGTATACTGTCTTGTTGTACTCCCATTTTTTCTCCAGTATCTGACGAATGCAAAAGGTATGATCAGTAGTTGATATGTTATGTCGAAACCCACACTGATGATCACCAATAATTTCATCTATATATGGACTTAACCTTGAGAGAAGAATATTGGGAAAAATTTTGTATGAAGTTGATAGCAGTGACATCCCATGATAATTATTACAGACAGTTTTATCGCCCTTCTTGTGAACTGGTACAATAATAGATTCCTTCCACTGAACAGGCAATTTTTCCTTATTCGAAACAGAATTCTATCAGAATTTGATCACTACCTGGAAATTTTTAACTTTTCAACTTTGCAATAGAAATTTCAACATCAAAAGGGCTAGGATCAGGCAATAATGGCTCAGCTGTATGTATTTCTGTCTGCCTAACATCACTGACCCTATGTACATTCAATAACTGAGAGAAGTAGTTCTACCACCTCTTCAAAATGTTGTGGGAATCTGCAAGCAGATCACCATTCTCATCCTTCACTAAGTTACTGCTAGGTTGGTAACCCCTTTTAAAGTCATTTATTCCTCTATACAGGTCTCTAATGTTCTTGTTCGTACTGATCATTGCAAGCTCACCAATTTTGTCTTTCAGATATTCCCTCTTTTTGTTCCTGAAATGCCTGCGGGTTTCACATTTTATATTTTTCAGATTACACCCATTTAACTTGCTTGGATCCTGTAACCACTACAATTTGGCTACAGTTTCCTTTGGTCTAATAATTTTGAGCAACCTTCATCAAACCATGGCTCATGCTTCTTCAGTTCATAATGATCTAGACTCTCCTTGGCTGAAATTTTTATATTCTCTCTAATAGTTTCCCAAGATTTATTAACATCCACCTCAGTGTCTAAGTTTTCCAAAGCTGCAAACCTACCTGAAATTTCAACACAATACTGTTCCTTACCCTCTACCTAGTTTAATTTCTTGAGACTGAACCTCTCCATATGAACTCTGTGAGTTGTTTGTTTACTCACTGCCAGTCTTTCCCTAACCTTTGCCACTACCAGGTAGAGGTCAGTATCACAATCTGCTGTCCTGAATGATTGAACGTCAAATATACTTGATTGCTGTCTCATATCTATAAAAATATGGTCAATTTCGTTGTGTGTCTATCTGACAGATGTTCACGTAAATCTATAAATGTTATGATGTGGGAACGATGTACTTTTGATAGCAAGATTTTTGGATGTGGTGAAGTTTACTACTCATAACTCCATTATCATTACTAATTTCATGTAAACTCTCATCCCAACTGTTGTTTTCGTAGCCATATAACATGACTGAAAATCTGTTCCCTGTGATGTTTAGATAATTTATTTTTTCTTATTTTCTTCATTTGGGGCAAACACCATACTGTTATGAAATATAATTATTGGTGAATTTCTTCTACTGTAACATTGTTGCTATGAAACAATGTCTGTGTCATGCAAGAAGACATGTAAGTTTGCTTGATATCAGGGATGCCAGTGTACCTATATTCAGACAGAAATATTGTCCATCACACTATACTCGTATGTAAGTGTGAGTTATTGCATTACTTAAATGGTACTTGGTACATACTTCTACATAGATTTAAGATATCTAATCCATCGTTTTTTGTGGAGGGTTAACCTCATATACTAAAAAAGAAAGTAAAGGTAGCCTTGTAACAAACCGTGGAGGCCAATAGAGTTGTGAGATGTTGAACTTTCCACATTTTTTAGACAATCGGCTCATGATGGCGGTAAAGTTGTCAGCCCTACGCGCCGGCCGCCCTTTACCCCCAAGAATATTCCTGGTACTCGTTTCTGTTAGAGGCTGAGTCTACACCAGGGCCATAGTGCGGCTGAAGGGATTAGGTAAATTGGAAAAAAAAAAAATAAATTACCTCATCGGGGCTTGATCCCGCGACCTTCAGGCTTGTAGCATTATGCCTCAACCAACTACGGCACCGCGTGCCGCCAACCTCATATACTACATATCTAATAATAGTAAGATAGAGGATTTTTGACGTCATAAAATGAAAGGTTACAATCTTTATACTAGATACAAATTAATTCAATTTTACAGAAATCTGTTACTCACCTCCGCTAGTTCTTCATGATGTTTCATTTGACTTCTAGGCTAAATGGCTTATAGAACACGTGCTTATTCTATCTCTAGCTGCAGCCAGTTTATGTAACAATTATCTCCGTTCATAGTTTTAAAAATGTTCAAAGTTCGCTAGTTATAGTAAGCTACGGGGAATTTAATGACTATCTAATAAAATCGCATTGAATATATCGACTAAACAGGCACACAGAACAAACTACACATCACCATTTTTACACGTACGTGCTCGATAAGAATGTTCCACTCCAGTCCATTTCCTGAGAAACCCACTTTACACTCTGCACTTTCAAATAACGCACGAAGACATTTCTAATCGGATTTATGACACTTATTGAAAAGGACCATAAGGACGGCAAAAGCTAGAGACTAGGTAAATACAACAATCTGTTATGGCTAATAACCGTAAAGAAATCCCGAATTCAGTGACAGGTAAGCGGGATTAATTTGGTTATAATACTTATGTTGCTGTTATTTAGGGCGACGGCACATGAAGGAAACTGGCAACTGCAATTTCCGAGACGTGTCGCCGATTTCAAACAGACAACTGGTTTCCAGACTAGCAGGCGCAAACTGAGGAAACTGATTAGTTGCTCACACCATCATAGGTGGGTACGTTCGCCCTACGTAATGCATGATTGTATTTTTTTAATTTCGTGCACTTACCTTCTACAATGGAAGATAATAATACTGATCCCGTCATAATATGGTGGTAGTTGATACCAGTTGAGATGGCGTGAGAAGAGAGGACGACGACCATAAGGTAAATATTGGGATGTTAATTAATTTGTTTTAATTAAGGTCAATTAATTTTATCAGGAAATATCGCGTCCACACGAGATACGAAATTTTGACATACAGCACAACAATTTTAGCAAGATAAAAGACTACGCCGCGCCATAGCTCAAGCGGTTAGTAGCTGGCTTCCCACCGCGGCGGCCCGGGTTTTCTCCGAGTACTTCGGTTTCCCCTGCCGATCTTCATTCCACCAAATTCTCCATCATAATCAACCAGGGCAGGTACACTAGGCCAATCAGTGGCCGCCGTGACGAGTGGACCCAGCTGGACTCCAAACCCCACTAGAGAATTTAAAAAAAAAAAAGAAGATAAAAGACATGAACGTAGTACAGTCGGTAGCGTCGGTATAGCGAGTGGCTTCGGGCTGGACGACTGAAGGGCGGAGTTCCAGTCCCGGTAGGGTCAAAAATGTTATCTTCTCCAAATCGTCCATACGGCCTATGAGGTCCACCCAACTTCCTATCCAATGGGTACCGGGGACTCTTCCCCCGGGAGTAAAGCGGCCGAGGCGTGAAGCTGACCACTCACCTCCAGCTAGTGCCAAGGTCATGAAAATGTGGATCCATACTTTCACTACCACATAAGCCTTCATGGCATAGTGCTTAATTTGTTGAGCACAGGGACTTTACTTTTACCTTTCACAAGACATCTGATGATGGCCATATACAGCCGAACCATATAATGTGGAAGAAAGGCAACTATGCAATATGTGACAGTTAAGACGGAAATATACGTTAAGTAAGTGATACACGTATATTAATGCAACAGGAGACTTAAATAAAATATTAGGAAAAGAAAATATTGAGTGCAACCGTTCTCTGTAACAATTTATACTGAGATGCTTTTATTATTTCGAAAGAACTTAACCAGGATCCAGACTCCTTCATCTCATGAGAAATTCTTTCCCAAGCAAAATCTATTTTGTCCTGCTTAGCATAGTCTGGGTGGCGCTTGCATATATGGCAGGCTCTTCCTCAATCAACTGTACAAAAACAAAATTAGCAGCTTCGTCAACCTTTTGTGCCATTTTAAGGAACTAATGATTCACTGAAGCGTGTCATAGAACAGCTAACATTAAGAAACCATGCAGCAACTCAATTGTGAGAAGACTGGCATGCTCCGTTGCTTCAATGTTGAGTTTCTCAGTCTACCGCCGAGTCGTATTGCCATTGTTACTCCGTTCAGTAATGTGTTCAACTCAGGCTGATAACAGTTCTCGGAAACTGCAGTTGCGTTGAGGTTGCCAGTTTCCTTGGTGTGTCCTCGCCATTATATTTCTTGTTCAATTATTAAATATTACAGCTTCAGTTACAAACTGAGTTTTGGCCCCAGCAGTACAGACTGAATGTACTCATTCTTAAGAATCATTCTCTTGAGACAGATGCACCATCCCAAATATAGTGGAATCAAATTCAGTAGTAATGTCTAGATTCAAATCAATGAAAGACAGTAACATACCTCGGGCACTTATCATAGGATGCATCATAAATTTTGTTCTTCAGAATACTAATACAAATATCTGACTTCAATGATCAGATCTATGAGGCACAAGTACAGGAATGAGCGATGGATCCATAAGATTCAAATACATTTGTCTGAATTTAGTACATTTTAATATTAAATACCAGACATAGAAAAATGCACTATGTTTGCTTCTAGCAAAACACAGAAAACACCAATGCTGAATTCATTCCCTGTGAGCACTATGAACATTCTCCATTATCAGATTAGATAATGTAAAATTATTTTCATAACAGCAAGTCCAAGTGTAATGAAGCCATCAAACAAACTCCATGGCTTTAGTCTACAAGTGAACTATACCAACTGAGTGACCGCCTATTGTCGGCGAAGTTAGTGCAACTTTTGCAGATAGAGGATGTCACGTGGTCAGCGTAATGAATCCCCATGGCAGTTAATTTTGGATTTCTAGACCAGAGCCACTATTTCCTTGAAATAGCTCCTCAATTATCCTCACGAGGCTGAGTGGACCCAATTCCAGACCATCAGCTAGTTCTCGTTGGTATACCAGATTCAATGAATAATGGTGTACAGTACTTCCATCTGAAGTAATAGGTTTTTTGGAGTTTACAAATAGCTTGTACTTCCAACTTTTTCTTTGGGGGCAGGGGAGTGCAATATCTGACACATTCAGAGTATCAAATCAGTATTTGCATCAGAATCCAAACTGATGGTCCCCAATATGATGAATCATAATTTTGCAAAAACAAACCTCACAACTCCCAAACCTCAGGGACTGAAGCCTTCTTCAAGTGTCAGAATAAAAGGTAGGTCAGAACTCACAAATCTGGCACCCTTGGTAGCAAACCACAGCCAGATCCAAGCCCTGTACCAAGCAGTACACATAGAACTGCTACACCACACGAACTGCATCTACGCATTACATTAAAAATTTGAACAACCTAGCCATATACATACAACACAAAAAGGATATGCAGAAACAGAAGATCCGCCTTCACATTTTTAATGGGAAACTTTCTAAAAGCAGCACAACCGAGAAAGCCACAAAACGATCTCAACCCGCATTACATGTTAAGACATGTAGCAGTTACAAAAGTTAGATGTATAATATCGACCATTATGAGTTATATTAACTAAGAATTTTAACAGCAATTTCAATTTTACATGTTTTAATTGGCCACTTGTTCAGTATTTTTATGTCAAGTTATAACTGTTTTAAATAACAAAATGTCCAACAGTCCTAAGAGATTTAAATTGATTCTAAAGAAAATTTTATATGAATATTCATTTTGATGCCAAGGACCCTGAGAGCTATACCAGCGGTAGCGTAGCTACTGGCAGGGCCTCCCTTGCTGGACAGGTCAAAGGGTAGGCATCAGACGAAGAGAGACACCAAAAACTGATGCCGGAAGCAGCGTCATCAGTAGCGACTTGAAGCACAGAGCAAATGATGCTCGAGATGGTTCAAGTTCGTATAGCAGCAGGCGTGACCAGAGTGGTTTGAACGGCTGCTGTACTGCGATGTGGAAAGCAAATGGAAAAACTACCACATTATCACTTTTCCTGGATAGTCTCTTTCCAAAAACAGAGATACCATATATGCGAGATGTTTCCTCTGGAGGCAAAACAATCCGGAGGTAAACTACTCCCCCAATCGGATCTCCGGGGGGGAGTGTTTCTAGAGGAAATGTCATGCAGGCGTTACAACAAGAAAAAGTGCGAAGATCAGAAGAAACAGCATGGATACAAGATTGGAACATGGAATGTCAGGACCTTGAATCAAGCAGGAAAATTGGAGAATTTGAAAACGGAAATGCAGAAGAATGAAGTGTCTGTGCTAGGTGTCAGCGAAGTGCGGTGGAAAGGACAAGGTGAAATAAGAAGCGGTGATTATACAGTGTATTATTCCGGAGGTGAACGGGCTGAAAGAGGTGTGGCAATAGTGGTGCATAAAAGTGTAGTGAGGAGTGTTGTTAAGAAGATTGCTTGTAATGACAGAATTATTGCTCTGAAGTTAAAGGCGGAACCGGTAGATATACTGATTATACAAGTGTACATGCCAACATCAGAGTATGAAGATGATGAAGTGGAAAAAGTGTATGACACAATTGAAGAAATTCTTCAGGAAGATGGAAGAGGAGACACAAACAGCATCATATTGGGAGACTGGAACAGCATTGTTGGAGATGAACCATATCAGAATATTGTTGGATCACATGGACTAGGAAGACGGAATCACAGAGGTCAAATGCTTATTGACTTTTGTGAACGAAATGGATTGATTGTTACCAACACTTGGTTCAAGAAGCCAAAGAGAAGAATTTACACATGGAAGGCACCTGGGGATTGGAAGAGGCATCAGCTGGACTACATCCTTGTGAAACATCGATTCAGAAACAGTGTGAAGGATGTGAAGACGCTTCCTGGGGCAGACATTGACTCTGACCACAACTTGCTGGTTGCCAAGTTCCGAACCAGGTTGAAGAAAATTATAGGATTTCGAAAGCGCAGACCCAGATGGGATTTGGAGAAGTTATATGCTCAAAGACAAAGCGTGCAAGAGACTCTAGAAGAGAAACTCGGTGCAATTGAAGGTGAAAGCGGAAATGCTGAAGCGCAGTGGAACGATATAAAAGAATGCATGTTAGATACTATCAGTGATTTGGTAGGTAAAGTTGAGAAGATAGCAAGAAAACCATGGGTTACACAGGAGATGATGAGTAAAATGGAGGAGCGAAGGAAATGGAAGAATGTCAACAATGAAGAAGGCAGGAGGAAATACAGGAGACTGAGGAATGAATTGAAAAGAGCCACGGACAGGGCCAAAAAGGAATATCTTGAGAAGATATGTAATGAGATTATGGAATTTCAAAGAACAGGCCGTTATGATTTGATGTACATGAAGACAAAAGAACTAGGATGGAAAGAGAATCATGGGATTCAAAATGTTGGCATCGAAGACTCCCAGGGGAATAGAATAGTAGATCAGAGGCAAGTGCTGAAAATTTGGGAAAATTATATTTCAGAACTATATGATCGACCTAATCGGCCAGAAACCTTAGAAGTTGAACCGGAAGAAGAAGTAGATACAGACGAGAAAGGACCATATATTTTACAAAGTGAGGTGGAAAAAGCTATCAAGGAAATGAGGAAGGGAAAGGCTACAGGAGATGATGATGTACCTGGAGATGTGCTCAAGTTACTGGGAGAAGGTGGTTTGAAAACACTGACAAAACTAATGAACACCATATATGAAAGTGGAGAGTGGCCCAAGGACTTTACAGAAGTTACAATGATTGCCTTAAAGAAAAAGACAAAAGCTACAAAATGCAGCGACCATCGCACAATAAGTCTTATTGCACATACAGCAAAGATAATAGCAAAGATACTTAAAAGAAGAATTGAAAGGAAAATAGAGGATGTACTTGGAGAAGATCAGTTTGGATTTAGAAGAGGAAAAGGAACCAGGGATGCAATTGGGATGATGAGAATTATAGCGGAACGAACTTTGGAGATAGATGAAGAACTGTGTGTTTGCTTCATAGACTGGCAGAAGGCATTTGACCGGGTAAACTGGACCAAATTAATGCAGATCCTGAAAGAAACAGGTATCGATTGGCATGAAAGAAGATTGATTAGCAAATTGTACATGGATCAGAAAGTTAGAGTACGACTGGACAGGGGGGAGACAGGAAGTGTGCAGATTGGAAGAGGAGTTCGACAAGGATGCTGTTTATCACCAATTCTGTTCAACTTGTACAGCGAATGCCTTACCAAGGAAGCTCTGGATGGGCTCGGTGACTTCAAAGTAGGAGGGCAAATTATTCAAACTGTGAAATATGCAGATGACCTTGTGTTAATGGCTAAGGAAGAAACTGTGCTACAGGGCATGATTGATAGACTAATTGAAATTGGAAGGTGCTATGGCATGGAAATGAATGTGGAGAAAACAAAAGTAATGAAAATTTCGAGACAACCAACCCCAGTCACAATAAAGATAGACCAAAAACAAGTGGAGAATGTGAAATGTTTTAAATATTTGGGTAGCTTGTTAACAGATGATGGAAGGTGTACTTGTGAAATTAAATCCAGGATTGCCATGGCAAAAGCTGCATTTAGCAAGAAGAAGAATCTTTTTACCAGCAAATTGGACTTAAATTTGAGGAAGAAACTAGTGAAATGCTACATTTGGAGCATAGCTCTGTATGGGGCTGAAACATGGACACTTAGGGCAGTAGATCAGAAACATCTGGAAAGTTTCGAAATGTGGTGTTGGAGAAGAATGGAGAAGATCAGTTGGACCGATTATGTGAGAAATGAAGAAGTGTTAATTAGAGTCAGTGAGCAGAGGAATATCCTACATGAAATAAGAAAACGGAAGGCTAATTGGATTGGTCATGTTTTACGCAGAAACTGCCTTCTAAAAGAAGCTATCGAAGGAAAGATAGATGGGCGGATAGAAGTGACAAGAAGACGAGGAAGAAGACGTAAGAAGATGCTGGATGACCTTGGGGACAGAAGAGGATACTGTCATTTGAAGGAGAAAGCTCTAGATCGCATGAAGTGGAGGAACTGTTTTGAAAGAGACTGTGGACCTGTCGTCTTGACAGATTACTGATGATGAATATTCATTTTATTCATTGGAATAATGAAGTACATATGAACTTAGTAGGTATCTTGTTCAAATTTACTGTTTGATAACATAAAGATCCAGTACTCAGTACTCACTATGACTACTCTTGTATAATTTTATTATTTTGAGTATGGTGAAGTTAGGTGTATGCCATTAAGGCATTTGCAGTTGAGAATTTAGATAGGAACTATAGAAATAGGAACATCTATATCCTATTAGACAGTCAAGCTGCTATCAAAGCACTTGGTACACACAAAATCACTTCAAAACTGGGGACTGCCACCAATCCCTCATACAACTGGCCAGACATAACAGAGTTCAGCTGATATGGGTGCCAGGTCATTAGAGTATTGCAGGGAATGAAATGTCAGATCAGCTGGAAACAACAGGATCTGAACGGCCGTTCATAGGACCTGAACCAGCTTGCGCCATCTCAATTGGAGTTGCCAAGAAAGCAATCAGGGACTGGACTAACAGAAATCACAAAAAACACTGGGATTCGACAACTGGACTCAAACAGGCAAAAGGATTTATATCAGGACCCTCTGCCAAAAAAAAAAACAAGGGATACATTAAAATTAAAAAGAAAACAATTAAGATGGGTGGTAGGATTCCTTACTTGACACTGCCACCTAAAAGGACACCTTTTCAAAGTGGGACTGACAGACAACCCAACTTGTGAGAGGTCCTTACAAGATGCAGCGGCCACACACACCTTATGTGACTGTGAGGCTGTAGCTTATTTAAGATATCGCCACCTGGGTCAGTTCTTCATGGAATCAAGTGACTTTTATGATGCCCCCGTAAACAAAGTCCTACATTTCATTCGAAGTGTAGGATTAATAAAGGGTTAATCCAAAGGGGAAGCACAATAGACCATTGAAGGTCGCAGTGCTAGGGCCAGTTTTATGGCTCACCCCTCATACTCAAGGCGATGTTATATGGATGCCTATGGTATTTTATTATGTGGCCTGGTGTTCAGAAAATGTTCTTCAATTGATCTGTTGCTAACTATTAATATTACATTTGTTTTTAAAATTCAATTTATAACATATTTTCCATACTCATTTACATTCTCTGTACTTAAGTTTTTTATTTTTGATGAACTCATATATTTGTAAATCATTTGTCTATAATTAATTTTTGTGTTTACTGAGAACTGCTGACCAGCTGCTTAGTTGTTGTACAAAAGCTTACACATTCTACTACCAACAGCTCAGGTATTCAGTGTAATTATACAACTGATTTATAAGTTGGTCATTAATGTTACAGTTTTTGCATTCTTTGCCTCTTGTTATCTATAAAACAAGACTTAGAACTGATAATCAATTTATTATTAAAATGTATGACTTATTCTACATCAAACAGGCTTTCCTACTATGGAGTTGTAGAATGCAAATTTGAAAAGCAAATGCAATTCTGTTTTCAGATCACCTTGTCACTGATTTATTCTCAGTATTCTTTGTTGTTTCTTTCTTTTGACTTGTACTGTACAAGTGAGGAGAGTTACATTTACAAACTGAAACATGTCAGAGAGCTCGCAGAAGACCCAAGGATATCCTGCGACGAATAATATCAAGAGAAAAAACCTTCACTTCAATTCTGTCTCCAAGTCGCAGCCTAGTGTTACGAAGTCGGCTTTGTGGAATCAGACCATCAATGCCCACTCCAATATCTACAAAGGCACCGAAGTGTGTTACATTTCGTACACGACCTGTAAAAATTGCAGAGTCTGTCATTTGATATTTGAACATAATAAACACAATACACAACCCAGAATCACACAGTTACGCCTTTGCCTCATAAGTTTTTATAAAGCACACTCAAATTTATTTACTGAGTTCTTTTCACATAATTATATAAATAAAAAAAACAGTTATTATTTCACTTCATATCTCATTCTAACTATCTACAGAGAAGCCCTGTAAAGCGCTTTTAGCATACATCCTGCCACAAGATGGCAAAAGATGATGAGGTCTGTGGTCTCGGAAACATTCTGTACTACCCACTGACAGTCAGTAATGATTCCAGTTCTTTGTCAAAGATGGCAGACCATATGCGATGAGTCACCAATTATACAGAACAGAAAAAAAGAAATCAATAAATAGGCAAAAGTTAAAAACAAGACTATCCTCAGTAAGAACACAGTACATAGCAGACAATGGATTGCTTTTATAAGAAAAAATTACTTGGCATGGAAGGAAAGGCATGTGTTCCATCAGGGCAAAGAAATTGAAATATAGAAAAAAAAAATACTTCATTCACAACAGTAAAATTCTTCAATACAGTGATAAAAGACGGTCTTCTCTCTAGACAAAGAAAACATAGTGATCATCAAAATAAGGGAGAAGAAATTCAAGAAAAAAAAATACTGGACATCCTCACTTTCTCCACACTAAATGTTCTGGGGTAACACGCACTAATATATTTTTGCCTTTGTATATCTATGACAGTTTTTACAGCTCTCTGTAGGGAAATGCAGCCTTAACATTGCAACTAGAGTTTTCATGATGCCACCTTTGAATTTAGCTGCAACAAATACAAACTGAATTCCTATCAGATTAAAAAAGGAATGTAATTTACTCTAGCCATAAAATGGTGCCTTGTTGTTAAATTACGCAGTGTCCTTCCTTAAGCCTTTTCTTAAAAATATTATGAATTTCCCTTCTTCTTAAGCTTATCCCTGTTGTACAACACACAAAAAATTTCTTCAGTATTACTGCAATGGCCACATTGTGCTGCAGTAATCATCAGTCTATTGCAGCCATTGCTGCAGTGGCTGTGTGCTGCAAGCAAATGTTGAACTAATAACAAAGGTACGCTGCTTACGTCTTGATTGTAAAATACAGGGTTACTACAAATGATTCATTCCATTTCAAAACATTTATTTTCCAAAGTATTACATATACAAATATGATTGATATATGAAAAGAACCGCAAACTCATCAAGTTTGCACCATGATACACCAGTTGGCAGCATGAGTTCAGTGCTTCAGAAAATGGCGACGAAGCTGGAAAAGAGTTTCTGTGTGCTGGAATATGCGAGATGTTCGTCTGCTATTGCAGTGCAACGTGCATTCAGAGCACCCCATAGAAATGAACCACCATGTAAACAGAGCATTCTGCGGTGGTATCAGCAGTTTAAGGGTACTGGTTGTGTAAACGGAAAAGCACAGGGCGACCAATATAGTGTTCAAAATGGAATGAATCATTTGTAGTAACCCTGTATAATGTCAGCAAAATAAATAACCATACAAAAATACTACAGGGGACTAATTCCAGCTCTGAGGTATATATGTAGAAAATATATTCCTATCACAACTGGCCGAAGAAAGTTTTGCCTTATTTCCTTTTCAGTGAAAAAGAAATTCAACTTTTGGTGACAAACAAATTCAATAAACCAAAATGTATTCAGTATACCGAAAATTCATGCACCCCTAGCTTCCTGGAGTCTTATCTTCCTTCCCATATTTTGAGCATTTTAAATGATGTATCAAAATAAATAATCAGTAAACTGTCATCATAAAAAGAAGTTAACTTGTCACTGAAATCCTTGAGCATATAGTTATCTGTTTTCCCACACTTCTGTCATTCCCTGTTTCCTTTCCAATTTCATCTACATTAATAAAGTTTACCCTAAAAGATATTTTGGAGAAACAGGAAATAAATATATTACCAGTGAGTACTGCTCCAGCATGAATATCTTCTAGAGATGAGATACTTCTGCGGAAAAGGGGCTTCTGGAACTCTGATCGCAAGTCGTGTTCAGGTGTCACTTTTAGTCCTTCAGTAATAAGTTTCATCTGAGCTTCTGGCACATCAAATTCTTCTGCTAACTCTTTTAAACCTGATGGGCATATACTTAAAACAGAATTGAAATTTACATAACACATTTCTAAAATAATTTATCAACAACAATGAAACAACTACGCCCACAGTGAAATTCCTATACACATGTTAAACACTTCGATAAAATGCATTTGTATACAAAGTCCCAGACTAACGTTTCTCAAGTTGTGGTGCTTGCGCCAGCACTGGTTTTTAAGATCATTTAATAGGCTGGGCAGAATACTGATTATTTTTACACACTAAGTTTGTAAGGTTAAAGTAAAGCTATCCCTGTAACAGGCTGTGAAGGCCCATAGGGTTGTGAGATGTAGAGGCTCCCACATTTTCTCTAGACAATTGGCTCACAGATGGTGGTAAGGTTGTCAGCCCTATGCACCGGCCACCCAATAACCCCCAGGAATATTCCTGGTACTCATTTCTGTTAGAGGCTGAGTTGACCTCAGGGTCATTGTGCAGCTGGAAGGATTAGGTCAACTGAAAAGAAAACCACTGCATCGGGACTCGAACCTGTAACCTTCCAGCTTGTAGCATAGTGCCTCCACCAACTACGCTACCGCATGCCCCATTCAGTTCATAGAAAATAATATTTAACTTCATAACCTTTTTGCTGAAATGAAAGAAATACAAGAGTTCTGATAACCTTATTTTGTGATATAGAGGCAATTCAGAATAGGTCATCCATTTGAATCACTGCATCCAGTGACATACACATATTTTCCAAATGCATCCTTTGTGATTTTTTATACCCCACTAGCCTTGATATTAATCACACTAGAGAAACACTGTATTCTTCACTATCTATAGTCAGACATACCTTCTTCATTATGGGCTCAGATGAGGTACCAACCACCCACAAATTTAAAATTATTATATCTGTATTTATATACCTATTCTTGATCCATTTATAGATTACTTAAATATAGTGTTTTCAATTCTTGAGTACAGCAACTGGCAGCTTCTCAAGGACTCAGCTGCACTTAGTCAGTCAGTCTTTTAGTTAAGTTTCAACCGTAAAACATCGAATAAAATAGAAAGATGATCATGAATATCGAATAAATAGGGATTTGGAACAAAGCAGTAATAAATTATTTAAAGGGGCTATTACAGTGTTCACCTGCACTGAAAAAAAAATCATGAAAAATTCAATAAGATATGGCTAAATAACTCTGATGTAACTGCTGTGAAGCTGTGAAGCACACTAATGTGGACCTTTGGCCTGGAATATCTAGTAAGTCTTACACCAATCTACATTTCTAAACAGTTACAAATAATGAAGTTTATTCTAAGTTTTACCACAATACCAGACACGAGAAAAGAAAGACCCTTCAATGGCACATGGTTGAGACCAACTTACCTGCTGTTGTTACTGTGATGCTTATCTTACTGACGAAGTCTGGTTTCCCCAAATCCTCCACCTTAGCACCACATTTAGCAATGAACCTAATAACAACGAAATATGTAGCCATAAACTGAATGTACGTATATGCTATACAATAAACATACATACAGACACACACACACACACACACATGATGATTTCATGATGATAACCACATGAAAAAACTCATTTTGCGTAGCGTGCAGTATAGGACTCTCAAATTCCATCTTCTCAGATATTCAAGATTAAAAATACACAAGAAGTCCTCTAACATTTACAATTCTTTATTAGAGTCCGTCACACCACAACAATACAATGGTCAACGCTAAAATTAGCTTAGCTACAGGTTTCGGCTATTAAAGCCATTATCAACCCTGATTGCATTGTTGTGTTGCAATGGACTCTAATAAAGAATTGTATATAATAACACAACAGGATGCATGAAATGAAAAAAAAAATCCTCTAACATTGCTAAGCTAGGGAAGCAACAAAATAGTTATTTCTGTGTTTTAGTATTCCATTGTCTGTCTATGCTTTTGATCCAGGACATCAAAGTAAAAATCATGTGGAAATGCAGATTTCATTTGGTAAGCAGCATGAGTCCATATTTTGGTGAAATTGAGTCAAATATATTTTATGAGAATACACACAAAATGGGATGACTCTGGCATCCCAGTCCGCCAGTTTGTTTAGGTGATCCATTCAAAAGTGACAGCCCAAATTGTTTTAGCCTATGGAGCATTACATATATATATTGTAACATGTTGCGCGACTGAGAACCCCCCTCCTCTCCACGGTAACGTAGNCCAAATTTTGAAAAGCAGTGAAGGAGAGGCCTATTAAAACAGCCTTCCTTAACATCGAAGTTACTCCAAAAGTGTGCTTTAATTTCTCCAACTTCAGAAGTTTTTTGCGCTTCCTGTAAATTTTATTTGCTTGAAATCATGTCCTTCACCATATGAGCTCTTTGACTGCTTTGATCCTCTGTCAGGCATTCAAACCTTCATTATTAAAAAAATATACTAAACTTAAGATTATGGTTTTATGGGATGTGACACCATATACTTTGGTGGACAGGTGCCAACATTTTGATGGGAACTGTTACCTCCACCTTCTTCTACCCTGAAGGAAGACCAACAGATTCCTCTAAAATGTCTCTACCTATCTATGAAATTACATGGTGTCACATCCCAGAAGAATGTGATGTTGGCATTCACTGCCAAATGTCAAATCTCATATACTAACCTTAACATTTACAAAACTTTGACAAGATGTATTGACATATGAAAGTGAAGACCAAAGGATTATACAAACACACAAAATGAGCTCATCAACACTGAAAATAAAACTGACTCCTAGATCATAAATCGAATGACATTTCAGAAGAAATGAAAATTCAATCAATCAATCATCACAGCACGAGGAGTGACATGTGGGTGGACAAGATGTCATGATGCATAGCTCAGCAATTGTTGCGCCACTTGCCTGGACGTTTTCCTTCAGCCACCTCAGAATATCACAATAGAAGTTTCTATTCACAGACTGCCTTGGTGGAACAAATTCCTTATGCAAGATGCCTTCAGTGTAAAAAAAAAAAAAAAATCAACAGGGAACTGACATTGTTTCACACTTGCTGTGCTTTCTTTGGCAGCTGTGAATTCAGCGTCTTCCGCTGAGATGATTGCTGCTTTCTCTCAAGGTCACATCCATAAATCCAAGATTCATCCCCAGTAATGATGGTTGGAGATATGTATTGCACATAGGTGTCATAAAGAAATACACGTTGCTCTAAAATATAGCAAATCATGTCATACCACACTGCTGACTAACTGTTAACTGGGAACAAATGGTTCATGGCGCTGAAAACTCCTGCCAACTGCTGATAAATTTTAAACAAACGCCCATGCATGAATATAATACCACGTAGAGGTCTACAAGTTAATTATCTGTCTCCATTCAAAACACTATCGGTTGTCAAGCATGCTGACTCATTGGCAAAATTCACATGCACCTCATTCCTGGGTGGTGCCCTGGTTATAGTGAAGGCCAGAGCTGTGAACTTGTCAATAGATTTAAAAAAGACCCTGTATTACCTTAATGCTACAGAATAGGATTCAGGATGAATCCATGTTCTGTCCAGAGGATTTTCTGTGTCATCAATAGACAACTTCTGTTTCTTACGCTGACTGCTATTTTCAGCTGAATTTGTATTCCTGAAACAAAATACATATATTTTCAGTCACATTCATCATTTGCCCAATCAGTGATTGAGACTAGCTCTTTCTAACGGGCCCAACTAAGTAGGTTTATCCTTCCTTACCCACCTGAAGATGGAGACAGATCCAGTCTCCGAAACATTGTGGTCTTTTGTCTTTTACATGCCAGACGAAGGATGAAGTCCAAAACAAGCCAAAAGAAGCATTATCTTTGTACTAATATTACACTGAACCTTTAGTGTTCAGATTAAGAGGATGTTCATTATCACACTTCAAAATGGAAATTATGCAGGTAAATTAAAATAATCTGTTACACATTTGTGCTACATAAAGCCATATTTTTTTTTAGAGTGGCCAGACAGGCATCTCGTACATCTGGAAAATGGTTGTTGAATCAATTATCTATTTGGCATGGAAAGTGGGCGGGAAGGTATGGTTGTTGTAATCACATGGCCACGTGAACATTAAGGACTACATCCTCCAACATAAAGCAACATGTTTGTCATGGAAATCAGTGGATTCCACTGCGATGATATTCTATCATGTGTGGTCCAGCTACATAAATGTCTGTGGGTCTAGCCCAAACACTGACATATTTCTTGAAATGAAGAGTGTCAAGCAGCACAAGGATTCTCCATTGCCCTTTCATGTATGCTGTGAATGTTCCTTCATCAGTCCAGAATACAAGGCACCAAAAGTCAGGTTCATCTACAATTCCATGTACAAGCCAATGACGGAACTGGAAGTGAAGACTATTATTTGCTGGTTGCAGTCCTTGTACAAGTTGTACATGAAAAGATAAAAACAGTTCCTATCTAGAATGTACATCAAACAATATTCTTGAGAGAGATCTGTTTCATATGCAACATGACAAGCACTAGACGATGGATCAGGATGTATATCAGCTAACATTTTCTTCTCATTCTGCACTCTGCATCTGCTCCAGCCAACATGTGCTATCATTTTGAAACACCTCTAAAATAGCAATGAATTAGACAAGAGTGTGTTTACATTTTCTACTCCAAATTATCTCTTCATCAACCTCCTAATGTCTGGTCACAGGTTTATGAATTGCCCCATATAAAGATTACTCACTTCTTCTGAGCTGTCTCTGGAATTATTCTAATGAAACCAGCACACTGCTCAAATGTTTTTGGTCCAATGCCTTTCACTTGTTTCAACTGCTGCCGATTAATGAATGGCCCATTGTTCGAACGCCATTCAATTATCTTTTCAGCTCTTGAAGAATTCAGGCCTGCTACTCTCCTGAAAACAAAATACATAAAAGATGTACCAATATTTCTAATTTTTATAAACGCCAGTAATAACGTTGCTCTTCACATTCACATAGTTTCCAAAATTAAGTTTCCTTTAGGACCTACAGGGTAAGTTTTAATTACATAACTTAAATATAAGCACCACGTTCTAAATTTTTAGGCAAGAAGAAACATTCATACATACATATATATAGTTGCAGCTGTTTTGTTAGCAAGATATGTCAACACTGCATATAGTAACTATGAGGCAGCATTGCAAGTTGGATAAAGCAATCACACAGTCATACAAGGTTGATGTTCTGCTGTTGCGGTGTTCACTAAAGTAGATGCACACGATGAATGGCACAAAATGCAGAGTATTCACTCAACAAACTGACAAATATGATATTACTGTATGGAGGAGCAAAGTGTAACAGTGCAGCCAACTTCCAAATAAAGTAGTGTATTTGAACTCTTCTATACATTCAAAGGATTTAGTAATTATTTATATTACAATTTGGCCCAGCATTCTGGTGATAAAACAAAAAACATATACCAACCTTCTTATTAATGTCTAACAACTTCTGCGTTTTTCTTTACAGTGTTAAACAAATTACATCTTGAAATTACCTGAGTAAGCAATGAGAAGCTATATTTACATCGACACCCACAAAGCTGACACACTCTACTACAACTTCATCAAGTGCACAACTCAGCTCCTTCTCAGGCACATCATGTTGGTACATGCCCACACCCAAATGCTTTGGCTCTACTTTCACTAATTCACCAAGAGGGTCCTGCAATCTTCGTGCCAAGGAAACTGCAATCATAACAATAACTAGAAACAATGTTGAACAATAAGAAACTCTTCCATGATTTTTCTGCTAACCACATTACCTTTCCAGGCAGATCTTGCATTGCACAAATATTATCAGTAGGTACTGAGTTTACAGCTCTCTGACAGTGGTGTGGCTTCAAACTACAATTCTGGACTCTATTCATCATCCAAGTTTGTCCTATATCTGGATGATGCATTCGTCCTATGGCCACATGATCTGAAGGAAATGTAGGAAGTTTTTTAACATGACAGTTGTCTCAGTCCCCTGGTAAAATTTAAATATACTACTCCATAAAGTGAATCTGGTAACACATTTCCGCAAGTTGCTTGCCGAAAGCTTGGGATGTTAAGAAAACAGGAGGGAACTTCATGAGTAATTCTGAAGTTCCCACCTGTTTTCTATATAATCCCAGATTTTCCATAAGTGACTTTGCTTCCTGTTTTCCACACAACCCTGGGTTTCCAGCAGGTGGCTTTCTCTACATCTTGCTTATTTCTTGCTTGGCATATTCTTCAGCCTTGAAAACGGAGGTGAGATGTTATTCAGAAATGTTCGTTTTCAGAGGACTACTTGGCATTATATCCCAGAAGATAGCACTCTTCATTTGAATGACTATCACGAAATTTGGTATGGATATTATACCATTGTACACCACCTCAACCCCATATATTTTAATTTCCCATAATCAATAATAACAACAGTGTGGACGAACAAACTTGTAACGAGGGCACAACATTTGTGATACCTACACAATCTAGGATCCTTAAATCATGGACAGACCTGCAAAAAAATATGCTATATTTGATGAGGTAACCATTTTGTAAATTGCAAAACAACAGAATAGTTGCTGCATGAAATCTACATTTGGCTTATGGTTTGATGGCTATTACTAATGCATTCTGGGAGGGAGGAATTTGAAATCTACAGATCATAAACATTCTTACAAATTCTGCAAAAAAAAAAAAAAAGAATATTATTTATCAGTCAACATAACAACAGTATGATGATTTTTTGAGGTTACGTCCAACAAATTTCATGTAAACAAAATCTGTAACTCAGTACTAATATTTCCAAAAAAAATACAACAATTATGATGGCAATAATAACAACTGTTGTTGTCATTGTTCAATTCCTTTGTGTGCTTGCCAGTATCAAGGAGCCTTTAACAGACAAGCACTATAAATTTACACAAAACCAAAAATTAAACTAAAGACTAAAACAAGAAAATTAAAATAACACATTAAGGGAAGCAATTAACTAAACAGAATCAAGAAAGAGACCCTATCCTGAGGTGGGAAATATGTATATCAGAAGCATGTAAGAACCATCAGATGCTCTTTGCAGCTGTGGAGTACATTGCTCAAGCGCCAATTCCTGAAGCAGTGCTCACAACAAAAGTGGAAAGTCCCTAATATCCTCTGCATTCATGAAGATCAGCAGCATCCTAATAGAATGCTAGCTGGTGCTGTCCTTGAAAATTTTATCAAGAAATAAAGTATCAAGATATTGCCTCCAATAGTGTTTTATAAAGTTTAAATAATTAAAAACTGAATCATTATTACAAAGAAAATCAGACACTTTATTGTTCAGATCAACTGGAACATAAAATTGTAACCTTTCTATTTTCTCTTATGCATAGTTTCACTATAGTGAAGAGAAAAACTGCATGCAAAAAAACAGATAAATCCTAGCAAATTTAATGCATTAGAACATATGTAGTCAACATGATGGTGAAAACGCAGTTTACTATCTAAAACCAAGACTTTTTATACGACCAAATGATAATCTTTGACAGTCAAAAAGCTTCTTTCATTCTACCCAAATTACATTACAAGGAATGCATTTTATAGACACAAACATTTATATTACATTACATACATCATTGGCATTACAGAAACACAGGATATTGAGCAACTGAAGCAGAAGCAGCTGTAGTAATAATAAAAATACAACAAAATTTGAAAATCTTAATTGACAATGCGAGTACCTGCGCTGATGACATTTGGATCTGTGTCTGGAAATTCCTTCTGTGCTACAGGACTACAAGAGTAGATACTCGCTCCTTGTTCACTCACAATAGTGAACTGCACATCCAGAGGATAAAACCAACCATTCTTAATCAGATCACTTAGGTATGCTTCTGTTTCACGACATGCTGTACCATTACCCAAAGCAATCAATTTGCAACTGTGAAAAAACATCATCATTGAAGTATGCTGTCTCCTGGGATGTGGCACTATTTAGATCTTGTGTGAACTGACATTTCAGAGGAACATATCCCCTACATCTTCAGGGTAGAAAAATCTGTGACCAGGTGGGTGCATGTCGGTTCAAACAAGATTTACACGGCGCCACATCCCAGAAGACAGCATTCTTCACAGTCATCACTGTGAAAATCTAAAATCTTACATAAGATCATCATTACTGATGAGACCTTCTTGGTCCCTCAAAAATTCTCTTCAAATCATGTTATTCTGTCAATTATACAGATCAACTACAAGTATGAAGCATTAACCAGAAAAACATGAACAGTCAAACATTATTTTAAATTAATTCAAGAACTATTTATTCTAACGTCATGATACATTGTGACAAACAGCCTGTAATCTTTGGTTAAGTATTTTACTCACAGCTGTTCAAATTTTCCTCTCTCTTATGTCATACTTAAACCCTTACTTCTCACTTTAGTCTCTCTACACATGAGAGTGTCAGGTCAAGATCTACATACTCCTTCACCCCCTTTCTCCTCAATCACATTTTTTGCTGCACAAACAATGGGTCACTCTGAAAGCCTGGTTTAAGATTGTCCAATAATAACCACTCACTGAGGTTCTCTTCATCAAACATCGTGCAACTCACTCTAGTAACTTCGTAAAGTAACACTCTGAATGTTCCTCACTTCCTCATAAGTGAAACCTATGAGAGACATCCATTTCTGCCCCTCATATAAAACTTCTTCCATGATCAAACCTCAGCTGCCTCCTTCACAGAATTCTAAGCCTGACAAATGCAGAAACCTGCACCTTTTAGCATTTCTTTTATAAATGACATCACAGTGCCATCTTCATGGACAAGAGTCTTGATATGGCTCACCCAGCACTGTCATTTCACTGATGCTAGTATGCATTGACAAATTGGTTCGACAAAAGCTGTAATATTGGACAGGTAAACATGTTGCCAAAAATGAGGTAATTTTGTTTTATTCAGTGCCTATTTAATGAGACTGTCAGTATCTCAGATCATACAGCATCGAATGGTAGTGAATGGTAAGCGAATAATAGGGACTGGTCATGGTCTAGCCGGAGGTACTATTACAGCATTTGCCTGGCGAGCCTGATGAGAGCCATAAGAACCTCAATCTGGAGAGATGTCCCAGCCAAGGTTCATTATTGTTAAATAATTAATTAATTAATTACTGTTATATTCATAAATCAAAAAAAGGAAGGGCAAAATCATGACATAAAGATAGGAAACAGATGTTTTGAAAATGTGGCACAGTTCAGATATTTGGGAACGATAACAGACCGAAACCTGATTCAGGAGGAAATTAAGAGGCGCCTGAACTCGGGTAATGCTTGCTATCATTCAGTCCAGAACCTCTTGTCTTCTCGTCTGTTGTCAAGAAAAATAAAAGTGACAGGAGGTTGGAGAAAAATGCATAATGAGGAGCTTCGTAACTTGTACTCTTCTCCAAGTATAATTAGAATGATCAAGTCAAGGCAGATGAAGTGGGCAGGTCATGTTGCACGAATGGAGGAGATGAGGAATGCAGATAGGATATTGATGGGAAAGCCAGAAGGAAAAAGACCACAGGGAAGACCAAGGCGTAGGTGGGTGGACAATATTACAATGGATCTTAGAGAGATAGGATGGGATGGGATGGATTGGATAGATCTGGCTCAGGATAGGGACCAGTGGAGGGCTCTTGTGAACACGGTGATGAAATGCTGGGAAATTCTTGAGTAGCTGCAGAATTGGCCGCTCCTCAAGAAGGGCTCAGCTCCATGTGTGAGTGAGTGAGTGAGTATATTCATAAATTACTTAATTTAAAAAATTCAATTCTAGTGTCAAATCCTTTTTCAACATGGCCAGAAAGGGGGGGGGGAAGACAGATTTCGTTCAGAAGACAGGGTAGTTTGCATGACACTACAAAACAAAAGCAGTTATCTGAAAATTCTCAAAGTCTGAGACAAAAAAATAAAATATATACATTTATATTGAAATCAAGCTCAATATTTCTTCTCTTGAGACAAGGCCAAAAACTAGAGACCCACATAAACTTAATATTTATTTCTGGTTGCTGAAAATCATATTGTCATTGTATTCTGAAAAGAAGAAAATAAAGCTCAGTAAGAACCTAACTTACTTGTATTTTACAAGCAGCTCCTTAAGTTTACACGCACTGGAATCTGAATCAGGGTTTATCTGCCTGCCAAATGGTGGATAAATGACATCAGTTGCCAGTAAACTGCCAGTGTGTGAGGTAATGCCTAACTTACAACCATTTCGAAAACCTGAAATTGAAATAAGTACAGAAAATGTAAAATCCATGAAATAGCAATGTCATACTTTTCTCAGATCATTTTCTATCTTGAAGAAAGCAGTCTTATGGGATGTGGCACCGTGTAGATGTTGTGTTAACCGACGTTTCGGAGGAACGTATCACCTCCATCTTCAGAGTAGAAGAAAATATAAGAAAATCTGCAAGTGAAGAGATGGAGGCGATACGTCCCTCCAAAACGTTGGTTAACACCACATCTACATGGTGCCGCATCCCAGAAGACTGCTTTCTTCATAGTCACCGCCATGAAAACCTCAAATCTTACATTTACTATCTTGTCCAGTTCAAAACCAGTCTATTAATTTTATGCCTCAATAATATTAACACAGCCACCACAAGCCAAGAAGCACAAGTGTGCCCAAATACAGAAATATACACATAGTCATATTCACATTTTTCTCAGCTAACTGTTGTCAACTTGCTTTTCATTACATCAATCTTTAAACATCAGTTCCTTCAAGTTCAACAATTTCTTTTGTTTCATTTTTTTGAACATTTAACCATAATAGTTTGATAACATTTTGCAGGATGTGTGTTCTTTATACTGACATCAGGGTTACTAAATATTCACCACCTGCAATTTCTGCCACTCATTGAGTTTAATAACATTGCACAAAACTTGCATTCCAGTCTGTCTCTGAATCCATAAAAATGACAAAACTTCACACAGAACTGGTGTAAGTTGTTCTGTTGCTCCACATTCAGATGTCTGTCTCAGGAGACAATGTAGTCTCTTACTGCTTCAGAGCTCTGTCAGTTCTACATGTTTTATCATCATGATCTTAACAAGCAAATCATAACTGTGACACATCATTCGCTTTCACAGTAGTACCTCTTCAACTTGCCATTCTCATACCATGACACAGCCTGAAATCTGACACAGACAAACTAAATGCTTAATACAGATTACAAACATCTACTCTATACATATATAAATATATATATCATCACATATTATTCATTACACGCAGGGTTTGGGACCACAATTGTATTTATTGAACACTTGACTTGCAACTCCTAATAATTATAACACTCTTACTAATCTACACACACTACAAATCATTATAGCACACATTAAGTCATCTCAGTTTGTTCTGCCTTCACCAGTTATTGCCTGAGAGCAGCTTCTAACAATACAGATTCCTCTGCTTCCATGCTCAAGGCCAAACACCAACTGTGACAGCTGACTCACAACTCCTGTCAGATCATGACCACTCATGACTAACTTCAAAGCCAAAGTCAAAGTTCTTTATGACTGGTGGTTTACCACCAATCACTTCGTCTTGGCGTCAAGCCCCTTGAGATCCACAACCAGAGATTTTTTTTTTCTTGCAACTGAACTCTTGCGGTAATAGTCCTTACGTAACACCCTCTCTGACAAGAAGATGGGTTTGTCTCTTATGAATATGCTTGGAATTGTGTCAAGTGTAGGTATCACACATATTGCATGTTTTTGAAAATTCTTCCTTTTGCACTGCATACAACAGCTCTGTCTCTACAGGCTTTGCAAAGCAGATCGTGCCTATCTTACGTGTATTCTGCTACAATGGCAGCTTAGTCACTTGAAGAGTCATAAGCCTCTTATATTTCCTATGTCTGGCTTCGCCTTGTCCTATACCGCGAACATGTTCATTCTCATTAATTTGTATGACCTCTGTTTATTGCCTGCATAATTTATTATAAAATTGTATACATACAGAAGGTTGAAAGCCGTGTGCAAATCACGGATTGACATGCACCTTTGAAGATTTCCAGTGGTGCAGAGAGCCTTGTTTTGTAGGTGCTGCAATTATAAGAGGTAGATGTCTGCCACAAATTCCAAGGCAGGGCAAGCATAAATCATTACCAATCTGGTCAGTGCCTTATGGAGATAACTAACTTGTACCACTGGTCCTTGTTATATAGTAGGGGCACAAGCAGCACAGAAAACATTGCTTCCAACAGTTTTCCTATTGTTGCCTGCAAATACATTGCTGTGGGAAAGTGTTTACCGAACCGTTGCCTAACAATGGCCGTCTCTGTTATTCCCCTTTCATGCATCATGCCAGAATACTTAACATTCAAATTCATGACAACTCGCAGTATTGTAACTCTTAAACGAGAAGGTTAAGGAGTACAATGCATGCAGTAACAGGAGCAAAACACAACACAGAACACTATATACAAATGTATATAGGAAGAATGCTCACATAAAAGAGGATTGGCGTAATTCGCGTGTTTGAGTGCGACGTAGGATGAATCCTGAAAAGTTTTATTATTTAGAATTCGGCATATATGACGAATACAGATTTTAGTCATTTTAGAATGAAGACATCATGGCATGCAGTACAATAGTTTAACGTGCATAAAGACACCTGAGGATGGCACATTAGTGCTGAAACATGTAGTGTGGAAGTGAAGAATAAGGTGAAAAAGTGTATACACTGTAAGACGGTTAGCATAAACCATGGACATGAATCAGTGGAACAGGACGTTAAAATATAACGTTAAGGAACTCATCTTCCATTTAGACAAATATGATACCAATCCTTTCTAACACCAGATGTCAGCACGTAAAGCAAAAACAGTTAACAACAAATTCTTGAAGTCTATACTGAAAAGTGGATGCTTGAATGAAGATGCAGAATTGTTCTCCTTTTTATCTCAAAAAATCAAGACTCCCACATGCCTATAATGAGCACAATCTTATGGGTTGCAATGCTACACCTCAGCAGAAGTCAGGCAATGTGTTGGAGGAACACATCACTTCCACATTCAGGGTCAATAAGCCAAGCAAGAAATTAGCACAAACAAAATAACAAGCAGATCATACTCTTCCATAAGTAAATAAATTGCGTAAACAACAACAGTAATACATTCCAGAAAAAAGATAAGACAAAGGTTTTGTGCATTCAACTTATCAGATTCTTTATATTAATTTCTTAAGAGCATGCAGTAAGGAAATAAACTTCACCTGGGTCAATTCCTAGCACAGTGTTGCCCCTAAGAGGAGGTGTAAGCAGCAGTGTCTTGAGATTGGTGGCAAACACTTCAACTGCTGCATGCTCAGCCTTCCGGGTCAATTCAGACCTCACCTGACGCACCAATAGTGGCTGGACTGCCATATAAAAACAACGTATGCAACACATATCGCAACATTTGCCATAGACGCATTCTTTAATGAAGTGATGTCCAGTCACTGCATATTTACTTCCGTAAATGCAATGGTTCTGTCCAGACTGTTTTACCTTTTTTTTTACCTATCTTTTATCCAAGAACCTAAATGTTAAAATATACAAGTCTCATTTTATTGTAATAAGCAATATCAATGTAGAAAAGAATGTAAATCACGTTTTTTCTTCACATAACTCATCTTCTGCTTAATATTATATAGCTATATTTTTCATAACCTCACTTCAATGTGTAAAATTATACCATCAAAAGCAGTCATCACATATTGATGCACCACATCAATTTTTGTCAAAAAAGTGCATATTGTAACATGTTGCGCAATGGAGAAACCCTCCCTACCCAGCAGCACCGTGGCAACTCAGGCCACAGGCGCGTGGCGGTAATGTAGCGCTCCCTCCCACCCCTCCAGGGTGACATAACGTGCAACACTACGTACCCGTAATCAACTTCCTACTGTGACGTGGAACGCAACAGGCACCACTGCGGCTATATAAGGAAACTGCACAGCAGCTACCAGTTAGTTGTACCGTGACAGCCGCCGAGTTGTAAAGTAACAGTCGCCGAGTCGAGTTGTAATGTGACAGTTGCCGAGGGTGTTATCCACAGTTCTCCAGTGAGCAGTTCTACTGTAGCAGTCGGCGACTTCAGTTGTAATGTGGGCAGTCGCCGAGTTGTAACGTAATAGTTGCAGAGTGTGTTATCAACAGTTCTCCAGTCAGCCGACTACTGTTGGAGTATAGCAGCCGTCGCGGAAAGAAGATCTGGACGTGTGTGTAATTGTGTAATTAGGAGCGTGTGATACAGTGATACATAGCTCCCCTACTGTAAACGTGTAGACCACTGAAGACAGAGTGAACTGATTTGCGCATAGGGTTATAAATCGTGAAACCCCGCAACAGTGTTAACAGATTAATGCGATTAGGGTTATAAAGTGTGAAACCCCGCAACTGTGAGATAAGTAATTGTAGCCGTTACTTGTAGATTGTTGAATAAACCAATTAACAATCCGTACGAAACGAAACACGTTACAATATATTATGTGAGTAAATTTGATATATCAATGTAAATTGGAGTGGCATTTTATAAATTTTATTATTGGTGCTTTCAAAGAAAGGAAATAAAAGTCACTGGCAACAAATGAACAGCTGTATTCTTGTTCCATCGGATACTGTTGACAATTAAGTCATTTCCTGAAGTGATCATAATGAGCAGTGTGCACTGTATTCAAAACAAATTTCATTCCAACAGACACACTTTTTAGGCCCACTGGAATTCACTGTTTCATTATGCTACAGAAAGACTGTCTGAGAGCTAAGCCGAAGCATAATTTTATGCTTTGTGTGTTCACTGCATCATTGTCAACCTACCCTGACAGAGCTATGATTCTTACACATTTAATTTCTTACTATGTAGATTCTCAGAAAGTAATAATCTACACAAACTGCAGCATTAGAATTGCTACAGCTGAATTTTGTTCTATACATTTTTACATATTTTGGTATTTTCTATGTATTTCTTGGGATGTTATATAAAACTACATATTTTGTGATATTTTTCTTTACTTGCATTCTAAACTGGAAAACACCTATATTTTTTTGTGTGCATTTTGATACTTTACTAATAGCCTTCTCCACTTTTTTTGCAATGTTGGGGAAATCCAGAGGAAATATCTCATTTTTAAAGCAGAATAAACTGCAGCCCCCAGGTAAGTCCACTCATTAGTGTGACCAGCATGTTTGGGAATTTTTTCTAAGACTCTGAATGGTGTTCCTTTGTATTTCAGTTCAAATCCCCTCCCTGCAAACCAAATATACTCGTCCACTCCTAACAACATGCATTTTTGTCCTGATACCTTTAAAAGTGATTTTAGTTTTGTATAAGCAGTTCAGTGAGTTAAGCTGAAGTCTGCAAGTCGATATCATTATGGCACTGGTAGCATCCTCTTTGGCGTTAAAGTAATATTTATAGGTAAAAACAGACGATTCTTGCACAACCAACAGTAAAACGTTAATATGTCTAGCGTGCAACAAAATTATTTGGTGTTCCATGAAATCACAGTTAGAGCAACATGTACAAAGAGCACTACATACAAAGAACAAGCAACTGAATTCTTCAAAGAAACAAGTGCTCTTAACACAGATGTGTACAGATGTATACAGACGTATGAGATCTCTGATCTCAAGAAACAAATTCTTCAAGGATATCTGCAACTGGATTGTGTCTGCCAACATCCCCTGGTTTAAACTCCAAATGCCCTAACTTTGGTCCTTTTTGGAATAGTATTGCAAACAACACATTCCAGACCAGTCAACACTGCACTTAAAATAATATTTTTTGTTTTAATCAGGACTACTGTACGCTCCTGAACTTACTGAGCCTTGTATACGAATCTCCAATACTCTGGTCTATTATCCTTCGTCGTAATGAATATGATAATCCTCTGCACAGCCAATGTCTGCCACAAAACTTCACCAAATCATGCAGCACTAAGTCTGGTATATTAATCTTCACAGATAACACCTTAAGGCTCTCCCCCCGATTCACAGCAAGTACCTATATGCAAATATAAGATCATATACATACAGCCTTTATATTCTGTAATGAGACAGAATGTAAAAACAGAAAGAGTAGGTACCTGAATATGGGTACTCATGCATGAGCACACCCACAGAGAGGAGACATACCAAAAACTCTTACGGATGTTCCAATGTACAATAAACCCAGACTTGCAACATTAATACAGTGACACCTCAGAACTCAAATCTGATATCATACCCTAGAAATATATCTGACATCCTGTATTCAAGATCTCTAAGCATTCTTAGTCTACTTTCTTGGGCTTATTTTCAACTGACATTCAGTTCCAAAATAAGACTTATCAACACCCATGCCTGCAACTGTGTTTACCAGGATTATCTGAACATTTACTGTACTTTTACTAAATAAATATAACTGTATATACATATTAGCCGGTCACAGTAGCCGAGTGGTCTAAGGCGTGCACTGTCTTCGCTCGCTTGGAAGCCGGGATCGTGGGTTCGAATCCCACTCAGGGCATGGATGTTTGTGTGCGTTTTTCTGTGTTTGTGTACAGGTAGAGGCCTTGCGATGAGCTGATCACCCACCCAAGGAGTCCTACCGAATGTGTAAGATCTAGAAAAACCGAAGTGAACAGAGACGTTAATGGAGGTAGGCCTAGGCCCACTGGGGCTGTAGTGCCAAAGAAAAAAAAATACATATTAACCTGAGTCTTGAAAAGAAAAATAGTGATAGTGATGCTCATGAAAAGCAAAGAAGTATAAATTAAAGGCAAAACTTGATATTATCAAACGTGCAGACAATGGTGAATCATTAGGGGCCAGAGTGCCATCATCATGCTAGTATCAGTCAATGGTGCCAACAACTTATAGAGCGTGCATATCTTTTTCCATAGTCCTAGAACATACCTTAATTTACATCACATAAGTCTGTAGGAAACTGATATTCAGTTTTGGATAATTCAACTTAACAATGCTATTTTCTCAAATACATTAGGACCACAAGTCAGGATTATCCTGTATTCACACAAACATTATTTGAAAGAAAACAGGAGACTACTGAAAGCATTCTCAATAATAAGGGGTCACATCTGTGACAAGTGAATCTCCACAAAATTAATAAGTACTACATGTTACAATACATTTTAAAAACTGATTCAGTTATTTAAATGGGAAGTTTGGCAGGAATTATAACAAAGCATGTCACACTGAACTGCGCCTTCTTAATTTATTTAATATTTTCTCAGTTGCAAAGTGTCAAATGGAAGGATGATCATGAATGGTGAAATGTGAAAGATTTAAAAGCAACCTATCATAGCCCATTTTGAGGTGCCACTTGGCAAGTACATGCAGCACTATACCTATACACTATACCTGGCCATTCAGCCATGATTAGAATTGGAGTCATATAAAATATCATGGGGGACAAAGGCTAGTAATGGCTCTGGTGGGGTGTACAGATGCCAGTAGGTGTACACCATGAAGTACGAGAATGCCATCTGTTAAGCAGGGCTCTGCTGCCAAATCCTAGCTCCCTTGCCTCATTTTGTGGCCCCTGGGCAACACATTCTGGGGTGAGAGCACAGATGTGGCAGAAAGAGCGGGTTGAAAGGTGAGTGTCTGGCGCCTTCAAACAGGACTCTCTGGCTAAAAGAAGGTAAACCCCTACAGAAAAAGATGGTGGGGGGGCTCTTTAAGAATGGCAAGTCAACCGCCCTAAGGGAGTACACCCTGACAGACAAACCTTGGTCCTCCTAAGTTAAGGGGGTTGGGTAAATGCTAACAACGTCTCCCCAGAAAACGTTACTTGTTTAGAAACCCAACAAATCCTGCCAAACTGTTAAGACAGATGAGAATGGGCAGGAATAGCAAGGGAGATGAAGGTTAAACTTAAGAGGACCGTAGCACCAAAGACAAAGAAGACTTATTATTACACAATACTTAAGTCTCTTTACATTGAACAGCACTTTACCGTGAGATTTCACTGTATGCAGTAGACAGTACTAACCTGGTAAGGTTTCACAGATTTGATGGGCACAGAAAAATTAAAGTATGTTTCAAACTTGCTTTCTACAAAAGCTTTATCTTTGTTATCTTTTCTGCCATCTCTCCCCTTCTTCACATCTTTTTTATTGTCTGTTTTGGCCTCCTTCGCAGGCCGTGATTTGCTTGTAGTTAACCATATGTTTGCATCTTCTTTCCTGAAAAAATTAAATTGCAGTTTAACTTGGTTACTGTATGCCTCTTGGGAAAAGCCAAATATTACAGCATTTCTGCACAGACAGGGTAAAACTTCAAAAGTAACAAACCTTTCTCTACAAAAGAGAGTCGTGGGTTCTGGAAAGATATCTAGACAACACATTCATATAACTTTTAACCTTTCACAATACGGCAAAAATTTGAGACCCTTTCATTTCTTTACAGAAGGATCACTGTATTTTATGTCACAAATATATGAGGCTAATGGGTAACTATGTCTCACTCAACACATTCTTAGGATACAGTATTCACTATCACAACACTCTTTAACCACCGAGCTACAGAAAAGAATTTCTGGACATACAGCGTAATGAGAATATCAGTGGGCATAGCTGCTGAGTGTATACTAACATTCCTTTTGCAAACGGTCCGACATTACAGAGCCGCCCTCTCCACTGTATAATACGCATCTGAACAAAGTTCAATGGTAGACAAATAACGTATGCAGTTCTTACTGTTCAACAGATTATCATATTACATCATATTACTTATCCTTTTGCATTTTTCTCCTGCAGTTTCTTGGAAATCTTTATATGATCAAATATGATCATTGAAAAGAAAAAAAAATATTTCTTTTAAGAATTCCTCACTACCCTTCAAAGAAAACCTTAACTGAGGAAATTAATTTCAAGATTAACTCTAAATGACTGAAACTAAACTTTAAATTGAGGAACATTAAATAAGGGTTCCACTGTATTTAAATCTAAGTGATCTGACATATAAAATAATTGTATAGGCCTATATTACATGAAAAGTATGAAATTATGCATCGTGTGGAACGTCCAAAAACATCAAGCAGTGTGAAATGTTTGCTATCTTATACTTTGCCTAGACATTCCATACAATTCCAGACTGATATCAGTTTGTGTTGCATCAGACAGAAATGAGCGAATGAGCGAAGCTTATTATTGACAAGCCCAACACGGAAAACAGATGTGAAAGCCTCAACTCTCTGATATAACCAAACCTAACCTAGCAAAAATATTTCTCATCAACATTGATTATTGTTTTGAATCCATTAACACTTGAGAGAGTAGTAACATCTGCTCTGCTCTTCTCATAATCTCCTCCTCCTCCCCAAAGAAGACTGGGTCATTATGATCCATTCTGACATTAAATTGATCCCTCCACCCCATCTGTGGGCAACCCCAATCCTCAATCTTGCTTAATGAAATACAAGCACATAAATTGTATAAGAAATTATAAACTGTGGCTAGATATGAAAATAAGTAATAGAAACTGAGCATACTGATGAAAATCATGAAAATTTTAAATAACTGAGAAGCACTGTGGCGTCACATCACAAATGAAAAACGACTGTTTCACTTACAATTTGTGAAGCAGATCCAGGACATCTCTGTCCTTGCTGATGATATCTGCAATGATATGCTGGATGCCTAATTCAACATCCTTAATAGAAGCCAGTCCCTTTTTCATTGGATCTACAAGTGTCTCAATATTTATAAAACTTGAACCATCGAGTATTGCATTGGCAGCTTCATCAAGTCCCAGCTGACGTGCTCTTTCAGCCAGAGTATGTTTGCTGCCGATTAAGTCTCCACTGCACTGTTATTTAAAAAAAAACACATACTGAGTATTATAAACCATATTATTACCGAAATTTTTAACTTGCACTAAACAAAGCTTAACTTACACATAATTAAACAAGCAAAAAAAATATGTATAGGATTCCTTTAATGGTAATTAGATTATCACATGCAAACATCTGGGGTAGCAAGAAAAAAGTTTACATCTCTCAACCAAAGAGCCTGCACTTATTGTGGGTATTTTAGAGGAATTCTTTATTCATTGCTGGTAACGCTGCACTCCAATTTGCAATTAAATAAACTCCGGCCAGCTCAAGCTTACCACCATTTCAGAAGTCCGGCGATTAAATGTTAAAGACCCTCAGTGCTTTACTCACTATGTGTTCTAGTTCATTCATGCTTCGAGCATACTGAATACTCCGTTCCAAAAGTGGTGTCATCTTCCCCAGCTTTGTAATGGTGTTCCTCACAACAGAAGCCTTCTGTTTCACAGATCTAAAATAAAAAAAAATAAATAAAAAAATAAAAAAAAAAAATAACAAGACTCCAGAATCCAGTACCCCACTCATCCAAGAAAAGCTGACTTTGCAAGATAGTACACAGATGGCCACTTATACAGCAGTATCTAGGGCCATACAGTGAAAGTGGTCGGATGAGTGGTGAATAATATATATTGATACGAATTCAGAAAAAAAACAGTCATGGCCTAAGTGAGGTACTATCCCAGCACATTCCTGGGAAAAATATATAAAATTTCAGACAGGATATCTGGTGTCTCAGTCAAGATTCAAACCATATAAAAAAGAACTCCGTGGCTTGAGTCCACAAGTGAACTATACTGACCAAGCGACCGCCCTTGTCGGCGAAGTTAGTGCCAACTTTAGTGGATAGAGAGTGTCGCATGGTCAGCACAACGAATCCCCACGGCCATTAATTTCGGCTTTCTAGACTGGAGCCAAAATTTCCTTGAAATAGCTCCTCAATTATCGTCATGAGGCTGAGTGGACTCTGTTCCAGACTCATTACTTCTCAGAAAATCTGGTAGTGCCGGGAATTGAACCCAGGACCTCTGGATCTGTAGGCAGAAATTCTGACCACTAGATCACAAAGGTGGTCTGATTCAAACCAAACACCTCCTAAATGCAAGTCTAGTGAGTTACTGGTATACCAACCTGCTTGATAATGCCATATGATATGTAGTCAAATTCTATATTACATTCCATCTGATTGGGTAAAATATCGAGTGTGATTCTAAATTACTGTTGGACTTTCCATGGCCTATAAACAGAAACCCTGACAATAATTTAAAATCACCCTGTAATACTAAAAAGTATTCAACAAGAAAAATGCACAGAAAGAACAAAACCATTGCATAGTTTACTGCACATCATTATGCAGAATAACCCCAATTGTAAATTTCCTTCGCAAATTCTAGCTGCCCCTTTACTTGGAGTATCAATAATTCCACATTATAAATTAGCTGACTTATAAAGACACAACATACTTACTTGGCCATCTCATATGAAGCTTTAACATCTCGTAGCTTTTCAGGAGACATATCACTTGTTAGTTCTTTCCTGTACCGTGCAATAAATGGAATGGTGTTCTCTTCATCTAGCAGGTGTATAATGTTCTGCGCTATTCTCAACTGAATTTTCTGTTCGTGAGCTACAAACTCTGCTTCACTCCACTCCTGCAATATAAATACAGTTTATTTAATGTCTTCACTTAAAGGCTACACAGTGACTTGAAAACAATTTAGAACTTAGAACTTTACTATATTTCTTTTCTCTTGGCACTACAGCCCCAGTGGGCCTAGGCCTACCTCCATGAACTTCTACATTCACTTCGGTTTTTCTAGATTTTACACATTCGGTAGGACTCCTTGGGCGGGCGATCAGCTCATCGCAAGGCCTCTACCTGTACACAAACACAGAAATATGCACACACACAAACTAAACATCCATGCCCTGAGTGGGATTCGAACCCACGATCCCAGTTTCCAAGCGAGCGAAGACAGTTCATGCCTTAGACCGCTCGGCTACCGTGACCGGCCTTTCCTATATTTAGCAAAATAAAAAATAAAAATAAAATAATTTACGAGACTCTGTACTGCAATACAAGGGGGGACCCAAAAATAAGCGGAACCGACCTGTTGCGCACGCATGCTTTGTAGTTACGAGTTGTGCTGCTAGGTGGTGTTAGCTGGGGGTCTCCCGCGACTGTTAGTGAGCTGGCGTCAGTCTGAGTTAAGTGGTTTGTCTGTGGTGCTCTGTTGTGTGCGTTCCTGTTTCAACCCTTTGGCGATTAGTGAGATGGCCGACCAGAAGGAACAAANGAGACGGGTGTCTGCAAAATTTGTTCCTCGCTTGCTCGGAGATGACCAAAGAGAAAACCGCGTGAATGTTTGCCGCGACTTGAAGAGTGAAGTGCAGAACGATCCAGAATTTCTTAAAAGAACTGTGACTGTCGATGAGTCTTGGTGCTATGGGTACGATCCAGAATCAAAGCAATCATCAAGCCAGTGGAAAACTCCAACTTCACCACGACCGAAGAAAGCGTGTCAAGTGCGATCCAATGTGAAAACAATGTTGATTTGTTTTTTTGATGTGAATGGCATTCATTGTTCACAAAGAGTTCGTTCTGCCAGGACAAACAGTGAACCAACATTTTTACCTGGATGTGTTATGAAGATTACGAGAGAGTGTGCGACGAAAACGGTTCGAAATGTGGAGAAATGGGAACTGGTTGCTTCACCACAACAATGCTCTAGCCCACACAGCTTTGACGGTCCAATAGTTTTTGACAAGTAACCAACATGGTGATTGTGCCTCATCCACCTTACTCACCCGACCTGGCTCCGTCGGACTTTTTTTGTTTCCACGGATGAAGAGAAGTCTGAAAGGAAAGCGATTCCGTGATGTGGATAAAGTCAAAGAAAACACGCTAAAGGCTTTGAACAGTATCCAGCCTCAAGAATTCCAGCACTGTTTTGAGCAGTGGCAAAAGCGTTGGGACAAGTGCATTAATGCACAGGGACAATACTTTGAAGGGGACTAATATACAGTTCAATAAAAATGCAAAAATAAAAAATAACAAAAATAAATTCCGGTTATTTTTGGGTCCCCCCTCGTATGTGTGCTGCGGATCAGCTCTGTCAACAAAAAAATTGGTACAGATTAATGAGAGCTGAAAAACTGCAAAGAACGCATTCATTTATCAGTTAGCATCTACATCTCCCTAGTTGTCTCTTCTCTTCAGGTTTCCCAGTTGAAATTTAGTATCCACTTCTCAACATCCTAATAATATATGATGAAAAACTCAAATTATGAACCTCACTCACCTCAGAATAAGCTTCTCCACTTTGTATCTGCTCAGGATTAGAACTGCTAGGTGCATCCACAAAAGTATATTGCAGAAAGAAAAAAAAAAATAAAATGAGTTCATTCATAACAAGTATGTCTGAATGCAAATGCATGTATTCCAATTATATCAAATTCAATGTTCAAGGATTCTTTTAACCCCATTTTATGGAGAAACATAGGCTCAAATTTAGGTAGCTTTCTTCAGTCATCAATCTTTCAGCACAAAAGCATTTATAACATTTTTTCAGTATTGCCGGAGAAGGTTAGAATTTGATTTAAAATTTGTAATTACGAATTTAAGCAATTTATAGGCAAATTCACAAACATGACACTGATCAGAGATTTGGTTTCCACTGAAACATGTCACCTTCAAGTAAAATAACACAATGGTAAAATAGGTTTCCAACATGTACTGAAGAGTGCGAGGACACGCAGTAGTGTAGTTGGTTGAGGTACTATGCTGCAAGTCGGAAGGTTGCGGGTTCGAGTCCCCAATGTTGTGGATTTTTTCTATTGGCATAATCCCTCCATCCACACTAGGGATGACATAGCCTCTAACAGAAATGAGTACCAGGAATCTCCCTGGGGGGTAAAGGGCGGCTGGCGCGTAAGGCTGACAACCTTATCACCATTTGTGAGCCGACTGTCTACATAATGTGGGAACCTGGACATCACATAACCCTATAGGCCTTCATGGCCTGTTACAGGGACAGCTTTACCCTTTTTTTTTACTGAATAGTGTAGATATACATGTTTCACATACAAACATCTTTTTCAATAATTTATCTATCCAAGAATAAACTAACAAGGAGATGAAAGCTGACACACAGTAACAGTAATAAAATCTTCTTGGGCAAGGAGCACAACAACTGGGAACTTACATCCAACTTGTTTGAGATCTTCACCGGTATCCCTACTTCACAGAATGCACTGTATGATGCATCAACCAGTCTATCAAAATCATGCTTTACCAGAAAAAAAAAGTTTTGTTTTAAATAAGTAATTAAAATGCTACATGAAAAGCACATCTACGGAAATTTGATTCAGTGTCATTGCAATTAGGCAGCATCAATAACAATGGTCAGAAATGATGATGCTGTAACCAGCACATACAGTAAAAATCCATAACCATAATAGTAAATTGCAGTAGGTACCAGACACACAAATTTGAACTGAAACCTGCACTCACAGGTGCACATAAACAAGTTTTTACAATTGAATATAATCAGTGATTAGTGAAGGAATAAATTAAGTACATTTATTTAAATTATTAATCTTAATCATTCTTAAAAATAAGTTATGTCCTTTCATGTCTATTTATAAAGTTCAAAATCAACATTACATACAGGATGTATTATAACACAAAATTGTATTGCACATAAAAGTAATTTTCTACCCTTGTTTTTTTGCACTACAGTGAAACCTCACTAATTTGTAATTTGTGATAATTCAGGCAACTGCTTTCTTTTCGCATTATGACCCTGATGATCATATTGCCACAATAAGCACAATGTAGTAAAATAACAAATACTAAAGAGGAACACAAACCAAAGTAAGTTTATTTTTAAACACGGTCTTAATAGTAGGCTACCCCTAAAATATTTTTAAGACTGATGTCAAAACTTCCATTTTTACATTATATGACATGTAAATTTACTTTATGACATGCAATCTATATTCCAAAATAAAACTGTATTGCCCAAAAAGAAAAGTGAAGTCTAATTTCTAACTTCACCTGAACATCCTTTCTGTAACACTTCTATAGTTCAGACTTTCAGTAATTTGGACCAGGGTTTGCTCACAATTAGTCCAAATTTGTAAGCTTTTACTGCATTTACACCAAATGCAAAAAAGTAAAGGCTTAATATGGAAGTGATGCCCATTTATTTGCATGTTTATGCCCCAAAATACCTTACAAGGAGCCAATTAAATCTGTCATAGGAGGTCTACAGTATGATGTATCAGAGTCCAGAAAATTTCATTTTGGTCCATGCCAGTCCACTATAACTCCAACCTTACATGAATCTCGTCTAAATTTTAGCACATTTTTAAAAACAAAAGGCTCACTGCAAAAAACACAAGTGAGGACTTACAAACAATTTGTGTCTATGAAGATCCAACAGGATCTATTCACAGCATACGTGGTGGCCAAAGGCTAATTCTTACAACATAACACATCAATAGTTCCCTCAACATATGACCCGGGGCAGAACTGGTGGGGTTAGTTTCAGTACTAGGAGGTATGTTGTCAAATGTGATTAAACAACAATGAACTCCCTTCAATGTTTATATCCACTACAGAGCAACTCAAATGGTTGTCATATGTAACTAACGGCAAAGATTCTACATTTAAATACTATATTTTCTGCATCTTTTAATGTCTGTATTTCGCAGCACTTTGTTACTCATTGCATCATGTACTTCAGTTACAGAATTCCCACCTTTGTAACAAGAAAGTGGGAAGTTGCACGTCCATTCATTTGAGTTATTATTAAAGTTTTCACTGAATATCAAACACTTGGCTTACATGAATGAAAATCCTAATGTATTATGAATTTGAGACAGTAAAACTCTCTCCATGCAGTGTGTTCTGCATTCAATTTAACACTCCTCATTGAAAAATAAATGCGTAACTTACGCCACTCTTCCTTTCTTAGCTGTCCTTGCTTTCTTAGTTGTACCTTCAGGCGAAGTTTCTAATTTTCTTCCTTTTGGGGCAGCTTGGCATTTCTTACGTTTCTTAGAAGCTTCTGGTTTTGGGACAATTACTTTAATTTTCTTTTGCCTCTTAACAGAAGGTGGTTCATATTCATCTTCAGAATCAGAATCGATTTTACGTTTCTTCACTCTTGAGCCAAATGGTTTGTAATCCACTGCATCCTCTTCCATATTTTCTTTCCTTCAAGTACAAAAACAACTTTTAATTTAAAGCAACTACGTTTACCATCCAAACGATCATTCAAATTATACTCACGTTCCGGCCCGCTATTACCAAAACTTCCACGGGAACCAGGATGACCAACAGCTCGTTGAGCTCGAGTGCGCTCTCGAGCTCTCGAGTGCATTGATGCAAACATTACTACTACGATTTCTGATCGTTCGAGAAAGCGAGAGTCTAATTGAAAAGTTCAACCTCTTATTGCATGACTTAAATATACATGTTTTAATGTAACCTCCGTTGATGATTCAACGGGAAGCCTCGTAATGTGTTATATAAACCGTCGTACTATTAATTTTCCCTGACTTTCCAGTCTTGCATGTTATCTTATGGTCTAGGCCGAAGCATAACGCCGCCTACCTTGAAAAATAGGTTCAAATAGTCAATATCGTCAATATAAACTGCCCCCTTCATGTTGTATATTACGTTCCACATACCTTCATTAATATATTAGTAATGCTAGCAGCAGAGGCAACACAACGCATCTGAAAACAAACGGACCTCTGAATTATGTGTTCCTCAGCGGCCTCCGTACTCAAGTTACGCGGGTGCAAACCCGGCGGAGGTCGTGGAATTTTTAAGGGCGGAACAAGTCCTCGGAGAGGGACTTTAAGCCGTGTGTCCCGTGTCGTAGATTTACGGCACGTAAAAGAACCTCATGTCTCCAGGTGACCCCTAAGCTAAATTAGACAACAATTTCCCGCCCAAGTAGTTTCTAATGCCTCTGGTAGATGGAAGTATCAAGGTACCAAGGGCCGACCTCGTTGGCTCAACGGGGCTGATAGCACGCACCAGTACCGGTAGGGTATGGTGACTGGAAGAATATCAAAGGGGGACGTACAATAGATCAGCAACTGGTCGCGGTGCATGGGGAAACCCCCCCCCCTCCAATTATAATAATAATAATAATAATAATATGTGTTCCTACGTTACGTACGTGACTTACTACGTGAAGTTACGTTCCGTCAGAGGGTAATTGACTATCTCTACCTTCTACCGAGTCGGTCCTGTTATTAACTTCAACTCTGGAGTCGCGATTCCAGTCTCTCAATTTTATTGTAGAGTAGCTCCGAGTATATTTTTTCGATGATTTCTAGTGTTTCGCCAATTGCTAGAGCTTCCGCTATCTTAGTTATTCTGAATTTCCTGCTATGACCATGTTTTATATCTACCGATGCGAATACTACGAATGGTTTGTCCTCTATTTTTGAACTGTCCTTGGCAAAACATTTTCTGGTTCTCATTCTTTTTGAATTCCTTGTCGTGATTCTCTGCTTCCTTAATTTGTCTTCCCTCATCGAAAGATGCTCAGGCCTCGGGCTTTCGTATGTGTAACTGAAGGCTGGGGACAGTTCCCTGATTGGATTAAATGACCGAGAAGGGTTACCACTTTATAATATTCACTGATCATCTGACCCTCTGTAGCATAGTCTTATAAACGTATTGTTTCATCATAGCGGTAGCCCCTTGATATTTCAATACACCTCTTAACTCTAACAGTATACTATTAATATTTTGTACATTTACTCCTTTTTCTTTTTTAAAATAAATTTGGGAACTTTGCTTATGAAGTAACAGATGCCGTGCTCAAATCTTTTTCTCCTAGCCTTAAGAGTTCTACAACTGTCTTTGGTTATTCTTTTTTGCTAATCTCAGAAAAAAAATATCCTTCGGTCCTTGCACAGTTACAATCCCAGAAGATATGTTCCCCTATTTGCAGCCCTTCACCACATACATACTCAGCTGTGGACACAATGTTAAATATGCTTAAGCTTGCTTTAAGACTGGAATGGCCTGTTCTCATACAATTTATTGACACGAAGATGTCAGTTCATTTACCACAGGGACAAGCCATTCCTGTAGTACCCTTCAAAGCAACTTTCTCCTCTGTCCCATTTGGTGTTTGCCAGAAACTGTGAAGTTCATGTTTGCCTTTCTTTTGCACTTGGCTTTAACATCTGCCACTGGTAATAGCAGTTGACTGTCTCTGCCTTCAATTGATTACTTTGCCTCCGAGCCAGCTTACCTCATTAACTTGAATTCCACAGTGCCCTGGGTTGGCAGACTAGTTCACAAAGGATATAGCTTGTGACATCTAGTGGATCTTAACCATATTACAAACGGTTTGCACATAACATTCAAATTTCGGGAACTTTTGGGTAGCACCCAATAAAATTTTGGATACACATTATTCAGCATTTTAAACAGGGTGAGCCCTTGATTATCCGAGCTTATACCAATGTCTTTTGTTACACTTATTCTGCTTAAATCCTGTGTTTCTGTGCAGGTTCTTTAGAAATATGGCAAATATAAACACATTTCACTGGTTTGAATCATTTGTTTTAATTACTGTATACACGAAATTAACCCCAAACCCCAATAAAAAGTGGCAAAGATGTGGAATTTTGTTACCTGAGGCAACCATGGTCCTGTTGCCTAGGATAAATGATGTACCCCTGTATGTCTTGAGAATTTTAGTCTTCCATAATCTTTGTCATTCTTATTAATTTCATTTTTTTCTGTGATGTGTAAGAACTTGTCTCACTTCATGATATTGCTACACAAGGGCATCTAGAATTGTTTCATTGCTATCCAGTAGTCCATCAGTCTGTCCCATCTACAGTATTCCATTTGTTATGAAAACAGCCACAAAGAGAAATATTTTAATGTAGGATTTGAAGTTCTCACAGTAGTGGTCATGAAGAGCTCTGTCTTCTGGCATATAATGCTGTGCAGTTCGAGTCAACCAACTTTTTGGAGGAACACGTTGCCTGCATCTTCAGGGTTGAAGAGAGCCAAAGAAGAAACCAAAATGAAGCAGACAGCAAACAAAGCTTTGCCTGGCTTTTCTTTAGTTTTGGAGACAAACATAACACATTTATCCCAAACACTGGTTGACTTCCAACAGAATACATGGTGCTATATCCTACAAGAAACAACTTTCAGAAACATTTTATACTGACTCACACCAGGGAGTGGAGAAGACACATTGATGAGTGTGTCTAAATATTGTAACGTGTTTGGAGTAGACACTTCCATGGTAACGCAATAACATCGGGCCGCTGCATAGACAATTCCGAAACAACGAACGTGTTTCCCCGGAGATGAACAACAGAAGGCCGTTGAGTAACAATGGACAAGACGAAACTCATTACCAGCGTGTAAAGAGCGTTCCCGAAGCAACGGATTGCCGAACAAGTGAGATCGAACCTTGGTGAACGGTGTCTCGTATCTCGTCCGCAGAATACCTACATAAGCCGAGAGTGACAGAGCTACATCACAGAGCCAATTAGCCTTCATACACTACAGTTGGAACCTAGTCGAGACGTCGCAGAAGTCACGTGATACCACAGGCGATAATAACTGTATGGTGTATAAGTGTGTGTATCCAATAAAGATTCGCTGAATCCGAGACCCACGTGAAGTTATTTGTCGCATGACACACCCAACACGCGATTATATTCAGTCATGCAATACTGGTAATAACATTGGTCTGTGGTTATTACTTTCATTTCTGTTATCTTCTTAATCCTCCTCCTCTCCTTTGTTGCCTGAATGTCACAGTAACTTTGCAGGAACATCTAATTTCTTCAGGATTCTTGTCAGAGGTGTGGTTAAGACTGGCCATATGCTGAGAAAGATTCTAGTTCATATCACTTTGACGCACAGGTGAAAAGAAGTCTAATTATGTCAGTCTCTTAATGTGAAACATAAACTGTGAATATATCATGTTGCATTTTGTGATCTGAGCATAAACTTGCTGCATAAGAATTTATATATATTATTGCTTCCAAGGTAGTAAGATGCTTAGAACTAATGTGACATACCCAGAACATATTGTCACGATATGGGGGGTGTGCGACTATAGATGGGGTATGGATTTATTGACCACTTGGTAATACACTTTACATTTCATTCACACATACAGACTAGTGTCCTCAGTTTATTAGTCTCCACTAGCCATCTCCTGGTAACGGCTTCTACTGAGGATGATTCTTCAGCTTCCTGCACTCAGATCTTCTTGTCACAGCCACCTGTGCAGAACTCTTTTGTCAACTGACAACTTGACTAACGGGGTCCCAGGCTTGTGGCCATTTCATTCCAACCTTCCATCTCCTCTTCACTGGCTGACTCCCAACTGACAAGTGAACTCTCCCACTGACCAACCAGTCACTTCACTCAACTGAACTGGAATCACTCTGCTTATAACATTTCAGTATGAACTACATAGAAAACAGTTTACATTGTTATAGTCCAACAATACCTAGACTGTTGTATACATATCCACTGTTGCAGAAACCGATTTACTGAGCAGATGTCTAGGGTTGGCCCAAGTATTGCTGATGTGTTTACCAACTGTTCCTTAGAAACAGCTGTTTATCCGCCTACTGATTAACAACGGCTGTACTTGTCTGTTTTGAGGCCTATATACCACAATATTTAATGTATTTGACCACCCACGTACCAGGCATCCAAAGCTGCAAGTGACGGTACCAAGTTTAAACATTCATAACTCAATCTTCATGGATTTCACTCTCATACCTTGCAGGTTAAAAGAAACTTCACAACTGAACATAGATTACTGTGATATTTTCCATAATTTGTGTAGGTACAGCATGTAGGCCCATTACTGGGTAACGACCTTGAAAAAACGGAACAACATCCACTGCTAGGCAACAGTTTATTAATACAGAAGTATATGCAGCCATTACTGAGTAACAAACAGGTTCAGATGGAAACAGATTACAACAGTGGATGATGTTTTCTAATTGGTCTGTGCTGAGATGTTATAAACAAGACAAGTTTAGAAATTATTAAGTTGTAGGAAATCAGTGAAGTTGAGAGCCAGCAGGCAACAAAGTGAGCATGGAAGCTGAAGAGTCTCCATTGTTAAGATCCATTACCAGGGAACAAATCGTGAAGACACAGCAGATTGAAAATGCTTAGCATGTGCTGTAGTGATCTGTAAAGTGTGGAGATTAGTGATGGCACTATAATTAAGTGCAGTCACAAGTCGTGTGTTAAAGTAGTCAATAATCCAATCTCCAATCCAAACCCCAACAATGGCTGCACTTCTACAACCGAGCAATAATTTACAAGAATTAAGCCATAAATATAACAATAATTTAATTCTGATGTTTACAATATTACAATATCTTTCGGTTATTATTTCTTGTGTCTATTTTTTCTGGCTCGAGTTCCCTTCTGTGCACCTTTATGAGCAGCTTGGCACAAACTCTTGAATTGGCCTGTATTCTTCTTCTGCTTACTGAAAACAAAAGACATAACATAAGCATTATGCAATATGAGTAAGTACAATCAAGGTTTAAGCTATTCATCTGTTCTGTCTCCATTAACCAATCACAGAGTCTGTCTTCTTTAAACTCACCAACCTAGTTCCTCAAAGTTCTACCATGAGCTACTATAGAGATGATGTTGAGAATGTATGTAAATTCTTATATATACAAACACACAGAGCTAAGAACTTCAAGCTGTCTAGAAACTTTCATTTGTGTAGCCTAATCAGTCTAACTGGAACCAATGCACAGGTAGAACACATCAAACATATATAGGTCCAGACAAAATGCATATGTCATATTTTATGATCATATAATGACACATATCGGAAATAAGCACACCTACTACATCACACATTAACAACCCGTACATCACAGAAACTTGTCTCTTGGCTCTACGACCGGGCTTACCACACAGAAAGCTTATGACAAAGATCTATGAATGGTATGACGACATGCCTAATTCTACACTGTAGCATTGGAACCTTAGAATTAATTTGGCACACATAGTCTTAACCTCCCATACTTAATAGTTTTAAATAATATAAAAATATTTTTAAGTATTTTCTAATATTTTTAATATTTCCATAATATATTCAACACTTATATCACCTAATATATCTTGACATATGGTATATATTTCATTTTTATATTTTAGTTTTTTTTATCTCCTATTTTAATTGTAATACTTATCAATTTGAGGCAAATTTTCTGTTATTATATCGTATGACACATTGCACTGATATGGATCCATATCATTAGTTCAGTATTATTTTTTTTTTTTATTGCAAGCGGGGTGGGACAAAGTCTCTTGTACTGCGGCCACTTCTGACCTATTGTACCAGCCCCAGATGACAGGTGAGGGTGATTGTGGAGCAATTGGTGGAACAAACATTGGCAGGGAAAACCGAAGTACTCGGAGAAAACCTGCCCCAGAGCCACTTTGTCCACCACAAATCCCATGTGAACTGACCTGGGATCGAACCCGGGTCGCAGTGGTGGGAAGCCAGCGACTAACCGCTTGAGCTATGGCGTGGCCACACTAGTTCAGTAACTAAACGTATTCCTATATTAACTGCCTGATGATGGTCTTGTATGGCCAAAACATGCAGCAGGAATAAAAAGTCTAATTGTAAAACATTAATAAGTGAGTATATTTTTTGTGTGATGGTTAACCTAATTCTTACTGAGTAGAAATGCACCTTTCTTATCATGCTAGGGGGGGAAAAAAGAGCCCCACTCCTGGGATGCTTACCGTCTGTTGAGTGCTTTGCGAGAAAGGGGCAGGTATGCATAAGGATCAGGTTTGCCTTTCTTCTTCACATCACCCTTAGCTTTTCTGGCTCGGTACTCCAACCCAGGCTTTACTGAATTCCCATGACCATGTCTTGAAGGGCGCTTTGTAGGTCGATGGATGCCTAAACCTCCGGCTGAAAAGACATGAGACTTCTAACTAAAAAATACAAAACCCTTCTGAAATGTATGAAATACAAGGGTAAGTCAATAAGTAAGTTACAAATGGATATAGAACTTAAACAAATAAGAGTACCGATCTGAAAAATGCTTTTATTTCTCAACATAATCTCCCTGTACATTGAAGCACTTGTCCCATCATTTTACAAGCCCCTGAAAACCAGCAGCATAAAATTCTTTGGGCTGCTGTCGGAACCAGGCGGTGACTTCCCTTTCTACAGCTTCATCATCAGGAAAATGTTCAGCCAAAATATGATGTTAAGAGAGCAGAACAAATGGAAGTTACTTGGAGCAAGGTCGGGGCTACACAGAGTATGCTCGAGGACTTCCCACTTGAAATTTTTCAGCGTCACATTTGTCTTGTTGGCAGTATGGGGAAGCGCATTGTCATACAAGAGCGACACGCCATTGGTGAGGAGTCCTTGTCGCTTCTGTTGAATGGCCTTACGAAGTTTTCTGAGGATGTGACAGTAAGAGTCGGCATTTACAGTTTGTCCTTGAGGCTGGAATGCGGTGAGCAGTATGCCTTTGTGATCCCAGTCACCACCTGGTTCCGACAGCAGCCCACAGAATGTTATGCTGCATTTTCAGGGGCTTGTGAAACGATGGGACAAGTGCCTCAATGTACAGGGAGATCATGTTGAGAAATAAAAGCATTTTTCAAATCAGTACTCTTATTTAAGTTCTATATCAATTTGTAACTTACTTATTGACTTACCTACGTACATTGATGATGGATCACAATATGCATTTCATTTTAATGAATGTTTCAAAATAAGTGACTTTCTAAGTTTTCACTTATTTTCAAGATTCTCCTTAGCACTTCCTGATTCTTCATTATCTTCCAATGAGTTATATTTTGCCTTCTTTTTTATCTAAGACAAGGAAAGAAGTCTAAAAGTTGCTTACTGTATAAAAAGTGTAGAAAACAAATATTTTTCCTGGGTTCAACAATCTACTAAAAATGTTCCAGTATGTTCAGTAATTATTAAGACATTCACATACAGCAGAATACGTTGAAGGTTTCTTGGTCTACAATATTCTCACATTTTGCATTCCTGTTTGTCATATCACCCAAAGACCTCTACGAATAAAGTGTACTTTTCTTCAAACCGATGTTCCTCATTTTTGAGGAGCATAGCTCATGGGCATTTACTGAAGTAAAAGAACCATGAAACACTCAATATCTTGCAGTTACAATTCCCAAACCCAAATGTTTTAAAGTAGACGAAGCAATAATATGCTTTATATCTTTAAAATTTCCATTAAGAAGCCCTTTTTACAAAATACTGCTAGTACAGTATTACCCTGATACTTCATGGCAGGTTGGCTTGCATCTGTACTCCCACTTAACTTCCTCTTCCGGCCAGCTGGTTTTCTCCGTGACTTCGTGTCCTCATCTTTCTCTTCATTGTCTGCATGTAATAGGTTTTCCAATCATTACAGCACATGAAAATTAATGCTGTTAACACTTACAAGGGTAAATACAACTAACTGTTTGGTCACTAAAAACTACAGGATTTCATGAAATAAATAAAAAATATATATATATTCTTTCTGATGCCTAAATATTGTTAATTTTAAAATGTCCAGAGATTTTTGGTAGCAAATGTTGAAAGCATTAAAACAATGCAGACACCAGTAAGGATAACACTCATGATTATGACACAATGCAACCTTGATGTTCAGTAAATTCACAAAATTCATAAAAATGCTCATTCTAACAGACACCCATATCTTAAAATGGCTGATGAAATTAGTACATTGGACTTGGAAACAGCAATTGGGAGAAATGACCCTGGGGAAAAAAAAAACAAATGACATCTTAATAGAACTGATACAGATGTTCCCCTTCCCCTGAAAGAGCAAACATAAGTGATAATACCAGACACCTTCACATTTAATTCGCTTAGTGGGATGTGGAGTCCAGCTGGGGCCACTCGGCACGGTGGCCACTGATTGGCCTGTTGTACCTGCCCTGAGTGATTATGATGATGGAGAATTTGGTGGAATGAAGATTGGCAGGGGAAACCAAAGTGATCGGAGAAAACCCACCCAAGCGCCACTTTGTCCACCACAAATCCCACTTGATCAGACCCGGGATTGAACCCGGGCCGCAGCAGTGGGAACCAGCGACTAACCACTTGAGCTATGGCGCGGCCACACTTCACATTACAAGGCCACAAGATTATCACACCAGCTGCAAGGCCTCAGTAACTAACAAGGCAACTTATACCACAGTCATACTATAGAGAACAATTTTAAAGCCCGTATTTAAAAAACTGAGAATCACCAGATGACACAGCAAGACAAATCTCTTTACTTTCAATCCATTTTTCACCGAAATCCCAGACCTAAGTCAAGTGACCTCTCTTTGCAAGATGAAATTTACAAGAATTGAAGGAAAAAAAGAAACAGAGAGCAACACACAGGGAGGGGGGGAGATGTAAATAAAGGAATTAGAGAGAACTGAAAAGGAACAAATTCATTGAAAGATAAATAAGAGAATGAAACAGTATGAGTAAGTTTCAAAGAACGAATTAAGAGAGAATTTCAAGGAAGGTTTTGAACTTGAAAATAAAAGCAAAATGCTCAAGAGGAAGACCAAGATAAGGATGGGAACAACAGGTTACAAAAGGTGTCAGGGAGAAGGAAGGAAAGCACAGGAGGAAACCGAGAAGATGCTTTCAGAAGACAGAGATAGATAAACATACAATATGATAATACAAAAAAGACTGGTGACTTTTTCTGAGCCATAATACCACCGACCCAAAGAATCAAACACAGGAGTGCACCATGCAGTAACAGAAATTTTCAAAGAATATGAGAGCAAGAAATTCCCTTTCTATGGAGGCGAAGAATGGATGCTGTAGACTTTAAACTATGCAAAAAATAAAAATTGTTATCTGAAGAAATCTGCTAAGTTCATCATATTAGGACTTTAAAAGAGGATTTTAAAGAATGTACAAGTGCTTTAGTTTTGGTTTATCCCTTGAAACTGCAAAACCCATGCAACAATTTCAATCAGCTTACATACAATGACAGCTGTACCGAAATTCAAGGTGATGACACTGTTTCTATATAACGACATACCACAGACTCTTAACTGAGAAGAGGAGACACAATGGTAAGTAATCTGTCCCAAAAGCAATGACATAAAATACCAATGTAAATTCAAAGACCCTCAATTTCACAGATATTAAAGCAGGAAGAGAGAAGCTAGCTTTCATTAAATACAACACAATACATATAGTTCACTTGCATAAAAGAAATTTTCATATAACGGAGGCAAAGCAATTCACATGTCTTGCATCAGAAAGGTTTCACTGTATGGGGTCATGGTGATTCTCTTCACACTAATGAATTTACCACTGTCCAAGTCATGGGAATATTCTTCCTCTTCACTGCCGCTGCCGTCCTCTGTAATAATCAGCCTCCCATCTGATGCAGTTCTAAATGCAGACTTCTTCTTCTTAATCTTCTGCACGGCCACAATGCCCTTCCCACCAGGTTGTGTTGCTAGAATATGAGCAAACTTCAATAATCTATGTAAGATTTGAGGTTTTCATGGCGGTGACTATGAAGAAAGCAATCTTCTGGGATGTGGCACCATGTATGTGGTGTTAACCGACGTTCCTCCAAAACATCGGTTAACACCACATCTACGCGGTATCACATCCCAGAAGACTGCTTTCTTCAATAATTATTATAAGCTAATTCATCTGTAGCCCCTCCAACACACATAACGAACCAAATAATGCTACAATGAACTGAGTCGGCACATAAAATGTTACCATTCACTGGCCAGTAATGAACTAAACAGACTTTTCATTGCTTTCAGCATAAACAGATCTTAACAACTATACATAAGTGAGCAGTTACCTGTAATCTTCCCGGCAGCAGTCCTATCAGTAAAATCTACAATGCTATCTGCATCTTCATGGATCCACATATTTGTATCCTTTTTCTTTTTTGACTTTACTTCAGAAACTGTATCAACTTCCAAGTCAGATTCTTCTGACTCAGCCAGGATTTCTTCAATGCTAAACATATGCAATAAAGTGTTCACATTAATTTAAACAAGTAGCAACTTGCATATGTATCAGCAAAACTACTGGTGCCTTTTTGTTTTTATCAAATCAACATGATATTATTATCTAAGGTGGAAGATACAATATTATAAATAAGATCTAAAAGTTTGTGACAATGGTACATTAGTACAAATATTATGTTTCTGGACATTATCAACTGTCCTGTTTTTATCCCAAAACCATCCTGTTTATTTTTCAAAACACAATGCTACAGAGACTGGATTCTGTCTTTGTTTTCAGGTAAAACCTACTCAGTTTGGCCCAATTGATAGAGCTAGATTTTACCTGAAGATGGAGACAAGACTCCAGTCTCCGAAACGTTTTTTGAAAAATAAACAGGACAATGTTTTAGATAAAGACAGGATGATGGATAATGCCCAGAAACATAATATTTGTACAGAATTAAAAGACTAGAAAAATGAAAAAATTCATTATCTTTCAAACACATGGCTAGGTGCAAAGGGTCTCTCTGTGGCTATGAAAATACTAATTACTGTGTTCCACAGCTTTTTGGAGAGAATGAAGTTTGTGACACCCTGCTCTGTTCTAACCACTACAATGTCAAGAGTGTAATCATTCATGCACTTCAAATATTCTGCAGTGCATTGTGCAAGGGTTCATTCACTGACCGCAACCACTGTACTCATTTGTGTCCTGGAGCTTAAGTTGAATATGGTGTCCAGTACTTCCACATACTTCATTCAGTTACCCAGATTCCTCAATAAGTTTTCTGCATCATTTCTTCTGGGAGAAAAGTTGCAATTCTTTGTAAGAGACAATCTGAACTGTTACATATCTTAATTAATAAATTAGTAGAAGAAGTCCATCAAGTGTAACTAGTTTAATAGGCGTAAGTATACATTTTTCCTTTGAAACAACATACATAAAGTAGTTCCTTTATAGCACTGGCTCTGCCTTTTGACGATAGCAAATAATGGCTAATACATGTAAATGCAAAACTTTTACTTACTCCTATGAAACTAGTTACACTTGATGGCGTTCTACAATTTATTTATGTAAAAGTTACAGTTCCCACTATTAAAGATCCAGTCCACTGAACTTGTTGTTGAATTTCCTGTTTCCTCTACTAACCAAAGTGAAAAGAAGATAAAAACATCACACAATGCTCTCGTGTTACTAAGCCATGGCCATATTCATGGCCTATAACTGACTCTCAGCTAATGTAATGCATCCCAATGGCCATCTTCTAAATGTTCCTTCACCATTGACTCTAAAGTACCGATGATGAAAGTTAACTGCCTAATATAATTCTGTACAGCTGAAATCTGAGGACTTTTACAGTCCTATCAGCACTTTCAATACTGGTTTGTAACAATGGCATAAAAGCCTTTTAGGATTAATTCTCAGTCTTACTTGGAAATCTGTGAGAGTACACGATGTCTGCACCTTTTCCTGACAACAAATCACTCTGGTAAAGATATGAAAACACTGCATTCTACCAATCAAACCAGATGAAATTTACAAATCAATTTATCTCAGCAGTTGTTTCTTTTCATGACATATCCACACCAAAATATGTGTTGGTTAAAAGGTTGGAAAGACATACTGAGAAAGGATAATGTTGGCTGAAACTCTCGGCATAAGCAAGTAAAAAGCATGACAAAACTGTAACTCTGTAGAGACTTGGCAACAGGGTAATTAAAAAATCATTGAAATGTTAAAAGAGACTTAGTTAAATTAATGAAGACACCAGACAGAACCTATCCAGAAGTAGATGACAAGATTAAATTCTATTTCTGAAGTATGTGGTTCATAAAACAGCATGTAAATTATTAACAGGGCTACAAGACATGCGAATAAAATTTCAAGCACAACTCAGAATTTAAATTACACAAATTCATTACTTCTTCAGACACAGCCCTCATGATCTATCACTCATCATCGCACTGGTGGATCTACCAAGGTGAGTTATCTTATGACAAACCCTTCACACTGACAGATGCCAAAGGTATATACAAACCTTTTAGGTTGTGCCCTTACTACAAATGACTTCTCTGGATCACTCTCATCTTCATCTTGATTCTCCTTGGCCTGCATATTTTTCTTCCTAGCCTGGATCTTACGCAGATTACGCAACCGCTTGTGAGTAATAACATCACTTGCTGGAATGACAGCCACTATGGTATCAAATCCAAACTTCCGGACAAGGCGATCGAACAGGTTACGTGTCTTCAAGCGAAAATGGTGTTTGCAGTCTTCTGTCATTCCTACAATACTTTTTACCTAAATATAAAAAAGTAATAAAAAGGGCAGTTAATGAGAACTTCCTCCTGCTAGAAACAGCTCAGCTGAGTAATGACCATTCTCCACCCTCTTTGAAATTTCAAACTGCCACATACAATCAGGCTAATATAAGTTACTGGCCCTAGCTTATTTATGAGATCACCAGGTGAGATATAGTTTATGCCAGTGGTTCTCAACGGAGGCCACGCAGTATTTTGGAAGGGCCACAGGCAAAAGTCGGAAAAATGGGGGGCTGTGGAAACTGGTAAGTGGGCCATGAAAATTTCACTTCTAAAATAAAATTAATAATATAAAATGAAATAAAAATGCCAAATGGTTAGTACACATAACAACACAATAACTCAATATCCTTATTTTTGTGTACCTTAGAAGGGACAGACCCTACTGTACTTAAACCACAACCTTAGATATGGTAATTCCAGGTACTGGTAAACAGGTACTTGCCTTCTCAGAGTGGGCAAAGCCCTAACAAAATGGTTAACTAAATATGATACTTACAATATGGGAAACTTCTGGTGCAACAGTGTCATATGAGAATGAAGTGAGGAACATTTTGATGAAACTCAGTGCTGATCCCACTATCTCACGTGTGCGTGTAGTCATCAGCAAACACACGTTCTCCAGCACCATCTTCACCAAGTCCATGGACATGGAATCTAAATCGCAAAACAACTGAGTAAACAAAGTGGAAATGTTATCCAGAGGAGTACATATATTTACCTCATTCTCTGCTATGCTGCAACAGAGTAACGATTATAACAGACTCGTATGCAACAGTAAACTTACATTCACCTAGCAAATTTCGGTATGGTCCACTGTACAGAATTTCTTACAAATTCAGACAGCAGTTACAAAAGTTAAATATACAGATAGATGAACACACATCCTCACTGTATATTCATTTTATGAAATTCACACAATGAATGCATTAAAAATACCAGAATTTTCACTTGCTTCCATCACTAATGCAACTCATTATAATCAATTCTTTGTTCATGACTTGTTTCAGCCAAACACGGCCATCATGAGGTGTCTAGCACTATACTAAAATTGCTGCACTGCATGGCTATGTCACAATTTAATATCAAAATTAAAAATTAACATATAAGATATTTCTCTAAGGCATTTAGATGTTTGCCTTTCCTTCCTGTTTCTATAATCTCCATAATGGACACTACTGATATTATAGGACAGGAAGAAAAGGCAAACATCTCAATACCTTAGAAAAAATATCACATCTATAGCATCTCTGAAGACAATCTACATATTGTCACGTGTGTAGGTAACGCGACAAATAACTTCACGCCGTATTTGATATAGCGAATTTTATTTCACATTCGCTCTTACAATCACACAATTTACAGATCCACAATTACTGCTATCTGCAGTATTACAAATACTACACTGCAAATGCTGGTAACTCGTAAATGCTGCCTTGAGAACTAACTCGGAGGATTGCTCGGAACTAACTCGGAACTAACTCGTAGCTCGAGAACTAAGAATTGTCTTCGGCCGCTGATACACTTTAACTGTGAATAGCCTTCGCTGTCCCTTATGTAGCCTCGTTCCGGACAACTCAAGAAACAGCCACGTAATAGGCACCATTGTTGTCTGGTGCCGTGTTGCTAGCAACGCTGTCCGGAGTTGTTTACTGCTGCCTAGCAACCGCAGTATCCCTTGGTGACGTCACCACAGTTGACTCACGTTGCATACCTACCAGGATGCTGGGACTCGGCTAACTTCGGCTCCGCTCGGCTTGTCACCGCTGGCGGGGGGGGAGGATGTTGACCTGCCTATTACCATTGCGCAACACGTCACAATATGAATGACACACATATTGACATATACATCATCATATTTGAAACACTGTATGAGCTTTATACCATACAGCACTGCACACACCCCCAATTACATCATAAAAGTTGGATAGACACACTTAACACCGATAACATCAGCATACACATATTAGTCAACAAAAACGCAACTAAAATTTATTAGCATCCATGATGTGTATATATTGACCATCTTCTAGTGCATACAATCTCACTTGTGATTAGAACGCACGCAGCCACAAAAGGACACATCACAAGACACAGTATACACAAAATATAGGAAGAATGACTCCCATAGCAGAAGATTGATATAATACGAGAGTTTGAAATATGACGTATAAGATGATAAATCTTAACAAATTTTAATACATAAATTTTATTATAGTACATGACGAATATACATTATAAATCATTTTATAAATGATACATGATGGCGAGCAGTGCAATAGTTTAACGTAAATAACACACCTGAGGATGGCACAGTGATGCCGAAACATGTAGTGAAGTGACAAGTGAGATTGTGTGCACTAGAAGACGGTCAATACATACACTTCATGGACGCGAATTGGTGCAACAGGATGCTAAAATACAACATTAAAATTTATTAGGCTTGACCTACTTTAATTTTTAATTTTGATATGAAATTGTGACATCCCATGCAGTGCAGCAGTTTTGGCATAGTGGCAGACACCTGATGAAAGCCGTGTGCAGCCGAAACATATCTTGAAAGAAGTGACTATAATGAGTTGCATTAGTGACAGATATGTATTATACGTAATAAATGATACACTGATGCAACAGGATGTTTAAATACAATACCAACAGTAAATAACTCCTGCATCAAGTTTAAGATTCAAAGACACGAAATTCACTAGAGAACTTTCAGTTTCATTATGACAAAACATTTAATTGTTTTAGTCTGTCCATTCCTCCTTCCATCTCTCTCTATTCCCAGCCACTTGACTCTCTCTCCACCTACCCCACCATCAGTGTTATTCAGCTGTGAAGGATGGAATCCAAGGAAATTTGAAGCCTGTCTAAAACATTTTCTTTATACACATTATTTTTATTCCACTGATGAATATCTTCAATTTAAGGCTATTGCAAGTCAATGACATACCAAGGAATTCATATATAGTTCAATAAATCATGTTTATTGTCACCAAGTTTTAAAACTATCAGTAACAGAACTTTTTATATTTCTGTCATCATTTTATTTTATTCTATTTTTTGGCTTATTTGTCTTTTACATATGTACCACTTGACGTGTTCCATAGCCTACCTGTTGTACTGTGGATCTATGGAATGTAAAATGAATGAATGAATGAAACCAACAGTGATCAACTGAGGGTTACAGCATTAGCATCATATAATTAAACATCATGATCTACATTAATATTGAAATATTTTAATAAATTCCAGCCACAAAATATTTTAATATTCTCAAGAATTTAAATTATAAAGTTAACAGAATTTATGTCACATATGGAATGAGGTCTTCTGGCTTGTGACACTATGCCATGTTGTAGGCAGATACTAACATTTCAGAGTAACTCCCTACCATCTTCAGGGAACAGAACTTCCTCCAAAATTTCTGTAGGCACCTACAACACTAGATGTTGACACAACCTGAAAGACCTCAATCAGAATATTCACCACCATGGAAACCTCAAAACTTGTATTATATAAAAAAAGTGTAGACAATTGGTTCACAGCTGGCAGTGGGGGTGTCAACTTTAAATGCTGGCAACCCCTTACCCTCCCAAAATTCCTGGTCCTCATTTCTGTTAAGAGGCTGAGTTAACCCCAAGGTCATAGTGTGGCTGGAAGGATTAGGTCAACTGAAAAATCCTATGACTTCTTTGGGAATTGAACCTGTGACCTTCCAGCTTGCAGCATAGTGCCTGAACCAACTTGCCCCCCAAACTTGTATTATGCCATATATACAGGGTTATTCATAAGTCCGTGAAACATTTTAAATTTCACAACAAATAAACTATGCATTGGATCATGGTAATTTTTAGCCAATAGAGAATGAATCTCTCCAAGTTTTTTCTAAAAGCCTCAACTGCCTGCTAATCTCAGGGATCTTCGCAACTGTATCACCGTTGCTGTGGCTCTGGTCAACTGTGATATGCTGACAGGGGTGTGGGACGAAACGGATTATCGCATAGATGTCTGCCGTATCAGCAAAGGTGGACACATTGGGCATCTGTGAACTATGTAAAAAAAACTTGGTGAGTTTATCTCTATTTCAGTGTAATAAAAGTTGGATACAACACTTAACTGCATATTACTAAGCAGTTAAAATAAGTATTGCGTATGTTCATTGGAATATGCTTACCACGTCAAGTACTCTCTTTCCTTTTGCTATATGTAAATTAACCACAAAATGTACTTATTATCCATACTTAATGGATAGGTTGTATAATTATTGGAGTTAAATTAAAAAAAAAAAAGGTTGGTATCCGTTGCATAGTTTATTTATTGTAAATTTTCAAAATGTTTCACAGACTTATAAATAACCCTGTATTAATTCAACATTAACACCTCAGAGTATACTGATATGCCAAGGCTTGTGGTTGTCACAAGGCATAATAAAATCAAAATCCATGCCTGCAATGAGATTGCACTTTCTTTTGTTTAACTGATGCAGAGCTTTTAGTTTGGGCTGAAAATCAAAGATAGACTTTGGCAAACATAAAATCTGGGGTGTCCACATCACTATGGGTAAGCAATGCTTGGTTGCAAACATTTTGCTACGCATGTTTCCAAAATGAGTGNAGAAAGTGAGAATGAGGAAGAGGTGGACAGTGTTGCCAGTAAGAAAGTATCACATGGTGCTGCGCTTAATCATTTGGAATCCTTACTAGACTATCTTGAGAGTGAAGAGGACAGTTTATTAAGTGACAAGCTAATATTACGTAGGCTTCGTACGGATATCCGTAAAAAGGAAAATGCCGCGAAAAAGCAAAAGACAGTATTAAATTATTTTAAGTGTTAAGTGTGACCGTAAAAAGTGCTGGATGTTGTTGAACAGTGATTGAAATAACTAATTCATACTGAGTGTAATGTAAAGAAAGTATTAAATAGGCCATGAGATGACATAGAAATGAGGATGAATAAATTTAAATACAGGTAGGTCTATAGTATTATGAAGGTATTAAAAGGTAAAAGGTAAAGTTGTTCCTCTGCTCAACGAATTAAGCCCTACGCCATTAAGGCGTGTGGGGGAGTGGATGTATAGATCCAAATTTTCTTGACCTCGGCACTAGTTGGAGGTGAGTGGTCAGCTTCACGCCCCGGCCGCTTTACCCCCGGGGAAAGAGCCCCCGGTACCCATTGGATAGGAGGTTGGATGGACCCCAGAGCCGGTCTGGACGATTTGGAGAAGTTAAAATTCTTGACCCTACCGGGACTCGAACTCCGACCCTTCACAGTCGTCCAGCCCGTATAATAAAATTTGGCTTAACCGGGTTTTCGATTAACCGTGACTTCCATCCCCACCATTAGCCCGGATAATCGAGAGTTGACTGTAGGTATCTTCACGAGATCACTCCTTATTTTCATTGAAAGCAAACTGGGTTATAAAATCATCATTTACATGACAATATAATCTGTAATATTTTCATTATAATAAAACTGCATTCAACTACCTCTGAACTCATGAGTAACTCTGGCCAGGGCGAGGATGGTTGCAGATATCAGATTTGGTGAGCCAGCAAGCCCAGCTAGCAGCAGTCCTATGTAGTCTCTCATCGTATCTTCTCCTGAATACTCCAGCTTCTGCAAGACATACATACATGTACCCTTTATGCCTCTTATCAATAATTACATACCAATTTCCTAGTCAATCTGATGCCATATTTCTTAAATTTCTACAAACGGAGCAGCAATCTCAAACCTGAAACCTTCTGCATGGAAGGCCAGAGACTTACTCTGCGCTATCCAGGGGACCAGTGAGGTTACATATACATTGAAATCTCGATCTATTATTCCTAGACGTATCACTTTCCTGGATCCATCGTTCAATTTCTGTGGTCCCTGAACACATCCTACTTAAAGTATGGAAATAAAACCTGCATCAATTGTTCTTCAATCTATCATTTTCCTGCATCTATTGGTCAGAATTTTTAGTCCTGAAGAACGTTAATCCTGGATCGATTGTTTTTAAGAAAGAGAAACACCACACATACAAATCCTAGTACTCATTGGTAGTAGTACCAGCAGTTGATGTTTCTGGAATGTGGTGACACAAGTTGCAGTTTTCACTCTGTGCCATTAGCTGTGCACTGTGCAACCCTGAGTGCATCTTCCTACCGGAAAATAGGCTAGAGGGGAAGGGGGCAAGTGACAGCCTGCTCATGACATCACCAAAAGAGAACAAGCGAACATCTTTAATATTGGAAGGTTGTTATTCAGTTTGAAAAGGTAAGGTGCTACTGTAAATGTGTATATGTGGCAGTTTTTATTAATTTCATATCCCTTACATCTACTGTTTTTCCACATGCGTTTTTTCAGGAACCCCAATGAAAACGATGAATCAAGGTTTCACTGTATATTAAGCAATGAAAAGTAGAAACTTTGGTTGGGTGCTCACCTGCATCACACGACCAATCAAAACCAGCAAGCTATAAGCTGCTGAGCGACATTTTTCATTGATATCCTTACAGCAGAGTATGGCTTCAGGAACAATCTGCTGCAACACATCCAGCTGGGAGCGATCTAACCTCATCACAAGATGGCTGAGGCATCGGAGACGTGGCTGAAAGTATCATTAGTCATTTATTGTTGAATACAATGACTTCGTTCATCTGTATTCAGAGGAAGGGGGGACATCACAAAAAAGCACCATGAATGACCAACTGCTTTGTTGGCATTCTTTGCCTTATATCGTTAAGGCGATAATAAAGAAGAATGAGATGGACAAAACTTGCATCACACATGGACAGCAAAGAAATATGCACAAAATTACGGTCATAAAATTTCAAGGGAAGACGTCATTTGACAAAACAGGCATACATGACAGGGTAATATTGAAGTTGAACTTAAAGAAGATTTTGAAAATGTGAACTACACTAAGCTCGCTGAGAATAGTAGGCCTCTGTGAGAATGGCTATGAACCTTCAGTTTCTGTGGAAGGTGGGAACTCTTCTACTGCCTAAATATCACTGTATTCTGTGTTCAGGTATGTACTTTATGAACTTTAACCCCCCCACAAAAACACATCTAAAAACTGCACTGCACAAAATTTGCAAACAATTTTGTCACACTGTGGCTACTGCACCTTGGCAACAGCATATGGATATTCATGTCTACAGGCTCCAGCATGCAATTTGCTGCTTCATACAGAGACAAAATGACATTTCACACAATTCTGATCAATAAATGATTTTCATACAAAATGCAATTAAAGCTCCCCCTGTGTTGTCATACTGGACTTCAGTTTAATTACATTTTCTGTGAGAATTATGTGTTGGCCATAATTTGATTAGTTCTTTACATGCTGAGTTTTCTTATAAGCTAAAATGCCTTCCTCACTTTCTGTTACAATGAAACTAATAATTCAGTAAGAATCAGAAGCAAAACGCCTGGCTTCATTATCCTCTGACACCATCAAACATAAGACATTTAGATGAAGAAAGATACAGGTATCTTGTTGATAGTATAGAAAGGGTTAAAGGTAAAAATATCTTCCCTCCAAATTTGTCTAAAAGTAGGACAGCATAAATTATTTAGGTAAATACAGCATTTACAATACTGTAGACAACTATGGCTATTCAGAGATAAATCCTTGTATAACAAATGTTGCAGCTCAGTCATTTGTACTCCTGTTCATATTCTGGTGGGGGGGTGCAGTACAAGGTTCAAGTCTTGGTCCAGCTATCTGTCTATGGTTTTCCATGGCTTTCCTGAGTATCACCGGACAAATGCTGAGACAACACCTTAAAACAAACCGCTAAACTTCTTTCTATGTCCTTTTCAATTCATATTTGCAATCACTGTACCACTGAATAGCATAATTTGTGTTAGCAGCATGAAGTAATCCACAAATAATGAAATATTCTAAGCTAAATGTAAACAATAAGCATAATAAACACAGTACATATTTTGTTTCCATTATAATAACTGAAGTTTTCTTCATCAGCATTTCTTTGGATGACAAAATATCTGAATGCAAACACCATGCCACATAAATTAAACATATATCAAGGAATATTAACTCACTCCTTTGGTGAAGGCGGCTGAGGTCGACAGTGAATGAAGGAGGAGTTTCTCTAAATCAGGCAGAATGTCACTCACAAACGCTTTGCAAGAATCTGAACTGCTCCCACACAATTCTTCCAGCAACCTAAGAAGAAAAGAGAATAATCATTAAACCTAATATGTAATTCTTTAAATTCTTTAACAGTGAACCATCATCACAAGAAAATGTGTGACTTTATTAAAGCATGAAGAAAATATGGCAGATAGCATAATGCATGAGACTGAGTATAAGCATGTTCTTTGTACTTTAGCACACCACAAAATGGCATGGGAAAAAAGCACCTTCCCCTTCAGAACCCACATGAGTCATTCCCATACCACACTCTATACACATAATTTATGCCAAAATATTTCTGAGTTTTCATCTTCCTTACTGCGGTTAACTTTGGTATCTCATGTACAAACACTGAAATATATCTACACACAGCCTCTATCAGTATATACTACGGCTATGGTCTGTCACTCCCACACTGTACCACATAAATGATGCATAAGGGAGGAAAAAGTCTATATTATCATGTGCTCCAGAGAAAAATAATGAAAAGTAAAGCTATCCCTGTACCAGGCCATGAAGGTCCATGGGGTTGTGAGACATTGAGGGTCCCACATTATCTAGACAGTTGGCTCAAAGATGGCGGTAAGGTTGTCAGCCTTACGCGCCAGCCATGCTTTACTCCCCAGGAAAATTATTTTAATTAATTCCTGGTACTCATTTCTGTTAGAGGGTGAGTCAACCACAGGGCCAATCTAATGACCTCATCGGGATATGAACTGCGACCTCCCGGCTTGTAGCATAGTGCCTCAACCAACTGCACTACCACGTGCCCCGAAAAATAATGAACGTTAGTAAAATTGGTACTAGGTACTTCAGAAATGTGCCTCATATATTTGGTATCTCCCAATTTCTCTTTTCATGCGCTGTAAAACAGAGTACCATTAAAAACTCGAACAGAAAAACATCACATAATGACTAATTTTCCTTTCACACTCATTCACCTGTAGGCTTTCTTCTGTTCATGGTGGTTTTTTGTATTTGATAATCTATTCTGACAAATGGAAAACAGTTGAGCAAGCCGAGACTTATCCTGATAAGGCAAAAGTGCTCGCAGAAGATCCAGAACACTTTCTCTTACAAATGCATCCATATCTGCAGCATTTAACTTCTCCAGGGCTCGATCAAACAACTCTTCGCAGAGTTGAGGACTAGCAATTTGCAAGTAAACCTGTAACCAAATAATTTTTACATGGAAAATGTAAAAAAGAATCTCAAAATTATCCTACACTAGTCACAAGGTTGTAGCTTCACAGTTACTGCAAACTCAAATAGAAGGTTGTTTACAGACATAATGAAGTGTCTAATAAAATCACAAGATGCCGAATACTAACTTTTCTAGAAAAATGGGTCTCAGTTTTTAATAAACAAGAAGAGCTTTGAAATTATGCCAATTTTAGGATTCTAACTTCACTGTCTCTATTCAACTCTGTCCATATATTCACAATTCAAGGCTCTTTGTCTCTCCTTGCTGTTGTATTTTGCAGAGCAGCAGTTTTCATCTACAATCTTATATACCTGATGATGACCAGTTAGGCTGAAACATGTGGTGTTAAAATAAATAACAAAAAGAAACAAACGGCCTTGAAGTACGAATTCAATATATGGATGGGGTTGCACAGAGATGGTGAAGTAAGAATCCTAAAATTGGAATACACAGTGCAACAGGAGGCTTCAGTACAATATAATTGCAGTTACACCTAAAAATGAATTGCAAAGCAGTACCTTAACAGTTTCATATGCAGCAAGCCGCTGACCCTCCTCGTCTGTGCCTTTTGGTTTACTGGTGTAGAGATTGAACAGGATGGGCAAGTAGTTCTTAGCAAATCGAGCCATTTCCTTCACATTGTCCTCATTGTTGGCTTCTTGGCTACTTGTTATCAGTTTGCGTAAGGCTGACATTGTATCTAGCCGTAGATCTTTGTACTCTCCAATTGCTGTTCCCAGTACTTTCGCAATAACCTTACAGAAAGAGGAATACAGGATATGACGGTAAGTGCACTGTGACTTGCAATGAGAAAATCGCAGGAATTTCTTGCACCATCAGCTAAGAGCAACATCAAAGCGAGAGACAGGGACTGGTGAAAACAGCAGAAAAGCAAAATACCCAACTGAAGAAATAAGCAGTTATTTTCAAACAAAAGCAAAATGATTAAGAGCAAATAAAAATACACGAGAATGGCGGAATGAAACTGAGGATTTAGAAAACAGACAAATGAACATCAACAAGAACAAGACTTGAAAATAGCACACGTACATGTACTCACAAAAAAAAAATCCTCTTATAGTGTTGAAAGTATTAAAATCTATGAACGCAAAACAGACTATTAGGCATAAAAAAGACAATTAAACTTTTATGGATGGGCTAGTAGTGACCTGGTCAAAAGACAAGGTAAAATTAAGACAAGGCATCAACCTTTAAATTATATACAGGACAAAATGTCACACATGAGATGTGCATGACATATGTTAAAGGTTAAAGAGAAAAACACAAACAGGCTACAGCCAGAACCTCCTATATACAGAAAGGAAAAGAAGGGCAGAGGTGCACTGATGTAGTTACAAAAATAAACAAGAGAATATGGAAGAGGAACAGGCAGCCAGAGAGAAGTGGGGAATGTCCCAACTTTCATAAAAACAAGCATATCCTTAAATACGAAATATCTTTCACTTGTATCAATACCTGGTAAGATAGCAGAATTTAGATCTGTTTTTAGAATGCTCAGAGAACACGCACTCATTTAATTTTGTACCCAAAGCTTCAAACTTTAACTTCCAAAATAATATTAATTCCTAATCTTCATATATCATAAATGTCCTAGAATTTATTTTTACCGTTCCTTCATCACAGTGGGCAATTCAAGTCTATTTTGGCTCAAAATTCTGCCCTTCTGTTCAGGAAATTGTTGGCCTCCGAGTTCCTGCTCGGCATATCAGACTTTGTACTGTTCAATGTTTGCTCCTCATCTAAAAACTGTCCCTCTGCTAGATGTGCAGCTGCTGCTAATGTTGTCTGCAGGGATGTTGACGTATTAGGAGCCAGGAAAGTTCTCCCCAAACGATTTTTAAATATAGTATAATTGTTAGTATTATTATTTGCACGTACAATAAACAAAAATTAAACAAATTATTATTATTATTATCCTCTCTGAAAATCTACACTCTTCATTTCTCAATTAAATATTTATACGTTTCATTTCTCAGTTCTCAATAACACTTAGATTTATGTTAATGAAATTATTATTATTGCTATCATTATCATTTGTTTGTTTGTTTATTTGGCTGCATTATTGATTTATGTTAATGAAATTATTATTGTTGTTGTTTGTTTGTTTACTTGTCTGTATTATTGTGTTTTCCTCCAGCGCTTGCCTGTAATTTGTCTTTGACTTTATGTTGTGTTTGTCCATAATGTAATTATTTGTATCTACCCTGTGCGCTGTCTGTAATTGGCCTTGCGGCTGTTGACTCGTCACATAAATAATAAAGAATTGAATTGAATATTATGTGTAATTTATACAGACTGTCCGAATATACCTTGAAGTTATCCTTAAGATCGGTGGGATTATTACAGAAGCAAGGAAGCAGGGCCCAGATCTGAGACTGCAGAAGCTTATAACTGTGGACTCCAACACTATCAGGCCCATCTTCTAGAGCAACACTTCGCTTCCTACAAAGTAAATAAAAAATAAATCTTCACACATGCAAGAAAATTAACATATCAAGTTCACTGGTATTATACTTTGGAAAAATCACTGTGATAGGTAGTCTTTGTTGAAAGTGCTTTTTCAATATCCTAAATTCTTTGGATTACATATGGTTATTGGGGTACCAGCATTCTCTAGAAATTCTCCTTTTCTCATCTTACCTGAACCTGTTTTTTTTTCTTTCCTCTGCGCAGGGCATCTGCTCCCACATGTTTCTGAAACAGTTTGTACTTAACATGGAACTGTTGTCATTATTCTTACCTGCAGATAGTTGCCAAGGGAAGGAAGTAGCTAAGGAAAAACTTGATCTGGGAACTGCACACATTTTCTCGTAGCACAGGGAGCAACCAACTCCGTTGAAACTCATAGTTTGTCTCCTCTCCAGTTATCTGTCATAAAAGAAAAGTCAATATGTTTTCACTATTGAACTTTTCTTCACAACGATTCATGATATCACAGCTAATGCTCTACCGCAAACTGTCTTCTCTTTTCCACAATACCAATGACACAACACCATAAAGTTTCATACGTCACTTGAAGCTTTCACAGCAACAGTAGCCAAATGGCCTTCTTGGCCAATTAGCTATGTCAATGTGGAGTTGATGTCCAACACTTTACAGCCTGCCCTTCCAGGCTGGGGCAGACAACTGTTTTGTGAGCAATATGAAAAAACAGCACCCATCACACAAACCCCTGATGATGGAGACAGAGAAAGTCTCTGACACATCAGACACCAATAACAACATGGCTGATTGCCCAAATACAATTCATTATTCTACAATATCATGTCTGTTTTGCAGAATTTCCTTTTTGAACAATAAAATGTATACATTAAAAAAATAACTCTATTTTACAGATGTAACAGAAAACCCATGCCATCACTCTAATCAATTCCTTGTACCTGCAGAGGAATGGCATTCAGTACAGTCTCAGGTCCCAACGAACGAATTGCTCTACCCACAGCGAACTCTAGCTCACTTATGTTCGAAAACTTGTATGAATCCCGCAGCTCAGCCATCAGTTTCAGGCAGGATATCATGAAGCCACTGCACGTTGCACCTGCCACCTACAAATATTCAACATGGATGAATCAATCAGTAAATTTAATGGACTGTCTCTCTTCAGTTTTATGTACAAAATTCCTTGACAAGTGTCTACAGCACACTACAAGGAGATATTTTACCTGGAACCATACAGCCAGAAGATGCAACACATGACACCATGCCGAGTGATACTGGTAAGTGAGACCATTTTCAATCATACCAAATAACTTTCCAAGTGTCTGATAATGAGCCTTGACAAGTTCAACAGAACAGGCTGGGCCAATACAATCTTCTGTCACAGCTTTCAGAGTTAAGGTGGCAGCACTCATGACCTCTGCTTTGTCAGACAGCCACAGCCGAGTGCCAGCAGAGAACAGACGAGACAAATGTGCAAAACACAGTGAGAGGTCCAGCCTGTGACATAAACAACAGCCTAAGTAATATAAAGGCAAGAAAGGAATATAAAGATGGGTGAAAAAATTGTGTCCAGGAGCTTAAAAAAGCATTTTGTCTACAGAAGAGACTGATAAGAGGCATACATGTTTAATTTTTTCACATTTTAACCTGGGGGGGGGGTATTGTCAGATAAGACCTTATCACATTCTTCCTCATTTGCTGTAATCTATACAGAAAAGCTGGCAAATATTACATGCTAATATATTAACATCTACACAACTCACTGATCTGTTTCTGTACATAAAATTCCAACAGTTTTGATTTCTACAACCTGAAAAACCTCACAACGCCTATGTTCATAGCCACAAACATACACACACAAAAAAATTGTAAAAAAACTGTCCCCATGCTCACCTAATTAAGCACAATACCATGAAGCCATATAAGGGAGTGGACTTACACATCCATCTATTCTTAACGTCTGCACTAGACAGAGGTCAGAGGTCAGTGGTCAGCTTCACATCCCTGGCACTTTACTCCAGAGGAAATCACACCTGACACTCCCTAAACAGGAGGCCAGGTGGACCTCAGAAAACAAAAGAAAAATCTCTAGTCTCTGCCAGGAATCAAACCTGGTTCCTCAGCTAGTAAGGCCCTAGCCTATTGCTATACCAACTGAATTTGTCCACAATCTAGCACCATAACAGAAAGTTAAATAAGGAGCTAACAAGTAGTTGCCATGTTGTTAATTCACATTCCAGGAAAATATGAATGGAATTTATGCATTACCAGTAAACTCCCATTTATCTGGTTTACTGGGAGCATTCCAGCATTCACTTGGAAAGTATGAGAAACAAAATTATGTGATTACTACATTTACCTAGCTAGATTAATATAGGCCTCTTGCATGACAGCAAGCCACGCCAGGGTTGGCTGGGGATCAGTTGGAGCTGGCTGATAGTCAAACAACGCTGTAATCAGCTGAGCATTAAGCTGTGGTGGCAGGGACAAGGAAGGAGGCCGTGACACAAACAGGCCATAAAGATTCTGCATGCAGCATGATGTGACTAGAACATTACCAAGGGTCATCACCTTGAGGACACTCTCACATGAAGCCTGCAAGAAATATTACAACTTTGAATTATTCAATTAATCTAATACATTAACACACCAGACAGTAAAATTGAAATCAAACACCTAGCAGCATCGGACCTCCCCAACACCATACAGTAACTAGCATGTCAATAAAAGAAACATGAAACAGTTTAATGTAAGCCTTACATCAAAATTGCGCACGAAAAAAAAAACTCTGTGGTTCTATTCCGCAAGTGAACTATACTGGCCGAGCGACCACCACTTGTTGGTAAAGTTAGTGCCAACTTTTGCAGATAGGGGGTGTCCCATGGTCAGTGCAATGCATCCCCACGGACGTTAATTTCAGATTTCTAGACCGGAGCCACTATTTCCTTGAAATAGCTCCTCAATTATCCTAGCGAGGCTGAGTAGACCCTGTTCCAGACCCACTACTTCTCAGAAAATTTGGTAGCGCCGGGAATCGAACCCAGAACCTCTGGATCTGTAGCCAGGAATTCTGACCACTAGACCACAGAGGTGGTCCTAAAACACACCAGACAGTAAATAGTGTGTCAACAGAAGAAAGATCAGACAGTGCATGGTAGACCTTACATCAAAACTGGACATGGTGAGAAATAATTATTCAGGTTTGTACTCCATGATCATTACTCCACAGCACACACCACCACTTACTGCTCTTCAGGATATCACTCTGTTGTATGTGTCAGAATTTCCCAAACATTTATATCCTATATAAGACGTGGCAATCACTGGGCCAGAAACCATTCTATCAGACATACAAATGGTGCCACTGGAAGAATCCACAACACTTGGAGCCCGTTCTTAATGACAGACTACAGAGAAATGGCATACCTTTAGCTGTGGTTTGGGAAATGTAGCAAGGACTTCCTTCAGCAAGCCAAGACTGTGTAATGTTGTGGTAGAAGCCCCACTCTCAATCTGCTGGATCAAATACTTAGCTACATGTGAGGCAGCAGGATGGTGTTCAGGAGCACCTTCAGTCATCAACAGACTACTGCCCTTCAGAATTGCACAAACAGCATGTTGTGCTGCTTTGCGCACCTAATAAAACAGAACACAGCTTCAGAAGTGAAAAAGGAAAGCATTTGTCAGGGTGTATGCCAGGACAACAGACTTCAACCAGTTCAAACCGATATGCCACCTGTACTTTACGAAGGTCCGTTTGTCCAATATACAGTTGAACACTTCACCTATGATGAGCGCAACAAAACTGTGAAGCTCCACCTTACTAGCACCTAAACAAGCAGAAGACAGCAGTACGGCACAATATACCACATTCAAAAAATTACACTTACTCTTGCCTAATACCATAACATAAAATGTATTAGTTTTAATCTTTTATATGAAAATGGTAGCTCAGCTGTCCTAACACCACACAAGTAACTTATCTGTGCTTTTAACCTCAGCTGGTTGGTGTATTTGTAACTCGTCTTCTATTTGGACACCACTAAGATGAGTTATATTATCAAGTTGGCCAGTCCAGTTGGGTTCAGTAATTTCAAGTTCTTTCCATTCTTGTCCACCAGAGGTCTCCACAGTCATGTGACTACAGAGGCATCTAGGAGCAAAGCAGAGCTCTTTGTGGGCTTTGCGAGTGACGGGTTATTTTACATACAGTAAATGTATGAAACAAGACCTATAGATTTACTTCCCTTTCAAAGGAAGTCTGCTACAGATTTTATGCCCCCCCCGCAATCCCTTTAACCTCGGCTTGGTTTGACGCGGCAAAATCTTGGGTCCAATGGTGAACACGTTACTATTAGACAAAGGCAGACTTTATAAGAAACTTATGATTCTGACATCTCAAGTGTTTTATATATGTGAAGCGCAAAGTTTGTTTTATATAGAACACCCCTTGAAGATGGTCTTGTATGACTGAAATATGTTGGGGTTTTAACAACACATAATCAACATAAGGAAACAAACTGCATACACTCAGACTTCCTGGGTTTTTGGACATTGTCCACCACCTGGTATTCTAAAAACAAGAGAAAGTGTTTCAGAAACTTGATTTTTCCATCCTCAGGTGAGAGAGGAGACACCTGTTCTTGACTGCATTGAAGTTAGCTCTTTCTAAGGGACCCAACACAGTAGGTGTCTCCCCCTTCATCTGATGATGGAAACAGATCCAGTTTAAAAAATGCTGTGTTCTATAGCTTTTAGAATGCCAGAGGGACAAAATCCAAAAAATCCAGTAATTCTGAGTGTTATACACCACCGTTAGAACCCTTTAGAAAGTAGATATACTTAGATGGAGATTTACATCTTACTTAATATTAAACTGAGTACATCATCTCTCCTACGGCTTCATCATAACAGTGACAGGGTTACCAACCCAAATGTTCAGATTGCTATGCCATGCCAGAAGATCAAATAATCAGCAAAATGTGATTTTCCACATTCAACATGTTTCTTGGCCATTTCACCTGCAAAATTATGTTTTGAAGCTTACACATTTTACCTTGTAACTGCAAGTCCCATAATTTGTTAAACAGGCCTACCCATAATGTGTTCATGATCATGAAATGCTTTATCAAATATACATACGCCAAGGTGTGAATTATCAAATGCAAAAAGTTCAACATTTCATCAGCATGAATATTATAAATTTAATTGTTTGTTGCATCCTGTTGTGTATTTTAATGGATATTAGATTTAATTTTACCGACCACACAACACGTTTTTTATTTACCGTCACACTACATGTTTCGACCTCAAGAGGTCATCCTCAGGTGTACGAACACAGTTTCACAATCACACGCAATCACATTTCGTTTTTCCACTTATTTTTGATCCTGTATCCTGTTCAGGTCCATGCTCAATACAATACAATGCTAATACAATAAAAAAGCTTCTAAGAACAAAACATGAAACAACGGATAAATACAACCTTTGTGGAGTATACCAGATGACGTGCAAAGATTGTGACCTAAAATACATCGGCCAAACAGGACGTAACTTCAGAACAAGATACAAAGAACACATCAGGGAAATAAAAACGAAAGGGCAGAAATCAAAATTCGCCCAACACATACTGGACACAACGCACAATTACCACACCATAGACAAAGCAATGGAAATACTCCACATAGAAAAGAAAGGAAAAATGCTGAACACACTAGAAAGCTTCCACATATATGAATTAACTAAGCAAAATCTACAAATGAACGAAGCTTTGACTGACAGTTACAACCCGATTTATGATATCCTAATAAAAGCATATCAAACGCAAGAAATATAATATATCCCAAAACCACCTACTTATCCCCTCAGAACCCCA